TTCTTTATTACCTGTCACTAGTCTGTCTGGCATTGTAATACAACCTTTTTTATTTAGATTTGAAACGTCCTTAAATTTTTCCATAAAAAATGCCGGGTCTTTGTTATTTTTAATAGCATTGTTAAAGAAATCTCTTTTACTTTTTTTAATATTGATGTTTATTTTTATTTCTGAGCAATTTGTATTGTTCATGTTTCCCTACTTTATGATAGTAATCGCGTTCATGTATAAGATATTTTATCTCATCAGTAAACCATTCCGGGCGGTGTTCACGTTTGATACGTTTTTCTTTTATTGGTGCATGCTTTTTCAAGATAGTATTTTAAAATGGAGTAAAATAAGCTAAGGGATTCATTCGGATTTATTATGTGCTCGACTAATTCAAGATCGGATAAAGCAAGGTCTGCCTGAAAATCAATTTCATTGAAGTTTTTAAAACATCTATATTTAATCGAATTATGTTCATTAATCAATCGGGTACTACATGCTTTCGTTGATCTTGAAATACCTATCGGATAATGATCATCTTAATGAGGTATCAGAAAAAACGATTCAATAATATATCTGCTACTGTTTGTATAAACATGATCTATAATTTTTTGGGTACGTTTTGTTATCCTAGTAGGATCTGTGATAAGCTGTTTCAAACCATATTTCGTTATCAAATCCCCCCATTTTGTATTGTCATATTTTTTTCTTTTTATTCATTGGATAAAAGTTTATATTGACATCTCCTAGAATATGATATTCTATATTTGATATATCTATTATACTTAGTTGTTTTTCATAATCGTCAATCCAAGATTGGTGTACATTGGTGGGCGATATATAAAATTTAAAAGAAAAGGTTTGCAATTTGGGTAAATAATTTCCAACCAAACAGATTCTAATTTCGTCCGTTTCTATATCGTAACGGCGCCGATATGGCACCTTGTCAGCAATATATATTACAACTCCCCCCGCCTTTTTGACAACTTTTACGGTCCTTTCTTTCGTGTGTGAAATTGTTAATATTTAATTCATCGTCTGTTGTATCATCACCAAGAAATGTCTCAGTAAAGCCGAAAATATCTGGCGAATTTAATTTGTTTAATAGATTGTATTTTATTTCGTCTATTTTAGGCATTAAGTGATTAACATTAAGGTGTGCAATATGTAAACCTCGTTTTTCAAACTTAGAACTGAACAATTGATTATCTGGAAAATTAGATTTATGGAGCGTAACATTATTTAGTACTTTGCAATTATATTCATCATTTCCGTATTTAATGTATGGCACTGATTGTTCAAAAGTAACAATTTGATTACCAGATGCAATAGTGTCTATTAATTTTCGTTCTTTTACTATCAAATCGATAATTTTTCGCGTATTTAAACATATATGTAAAATATCAATTGTGGAATACAACATAAAATCGTAACATACATTATGAATTGATATATAAGTTTGAAAATCGCTATAAAGATCTTGTTTTAACATAGATTTATAAGTAGTTACCTCATTATGAATACGATTGTATGTTTCAAATTGTTGATTTTCAAAATTTGAGTGCCTGTCGGATATTTCCTAATTCCTATTTATTCTGACGCTATTCTGTCCATAATAACAATTTTCACTTTCGGGTCTTCTGTCGTACGCAATACACTTCCGGTTCTGGTATTATCAGTATTATTAAGTGAAGTCTCACTCCATGAAGTTTGGTCATGGAACCTAGGTCTAAAAAAGTTGTGAACCTTTTCATGTCTGTTTAAATTATAATGTCTGTATCTCGGACTGCCTGCACCTGAGTTTTCTTTTCCATTGTATCTCGGCCGCATTTCTCCATTAGCATGATTCAATTTCCTTTTTACGATGTATACGCACCGATTTATTGCTGCCACAAGTGTTTTGGATCCATATTTATTGTGATGTATCCCATCTCTAGCTAAATATAGATATCATATTCATCCTAAGACAATTGGATCTTTTGATGTAAAAACATAATTTCCTTATAAGGCATGGAAACTGAACACAATACTATGATACAGATAATTTAAGAACTCATCATATTAAAAATTCACTCATGTCTTCAAAAAGGGCATAAATGAATGGCCACAGCCAAAGTTGCTTGGGTTCTTACCGGTAGAAGAATTTTGTAATGCTTGCAGTACTATGATAATTTCTTGTTATAGTTTCTTATATGTTCAGGTGAATGAGAAAAATAATCAATCATTGGGTTATATAGAAGATAAGGAAATCTCAACCATCGGGCCAAGGCGAGTTCCCGATGGAACCGATTGCCCGAGGAATAGGATTTCCCTATCTTCTATCTTACCCAATGATATATTCTATTATTCCCTTCTGTGATTGATTCATTTTCTTCCATATTGCTGATAAATCGTATGTCGAATAGAAATTACGAAAACTGATATTTTTATTAAGAGTCTAGTACGTTTTCTAATAGTTCCGTATGAAATTACAACTTCGTTCATAACGGCACAATGACACCATCATAATCTTAAAAGGCACGTGGGAATGACGTCATTTAAAGCATGCGACTTGTCTTTTTCTATCATAATCTAATACCACTGTCGCCAAAAACACTATATCAAAAGCTGCATAAAAAAGTCCTACTTTAATAACACTGATATTATTAACAATAGAAATTTATACAACCATCCGCTGTTTATCAGTAAGTTTACGATAATTCCAATTTTACCTATCATCACCTAAACATACAATTTTTTTTTTATCATGTATAGGGTAGTAACCGGTGATTAAAAAGAATAAGCTAAAACTTGTACACATTCTTTATTATCTTCATTATCATCGTTATAAAAGAATTTGTAATATCATTAACCCGTTTTGCTACCGTACTTGCTTCTGGTTCTTTGGATTTTATTAAAGCTAAACTAATTTATTCATGAATCACTAATAGTGTGTGATATTAATACACATTCACCATCATTTACAATTCTAGATTTGCGACCTAAAAATGCGAACACGGATACATGTATTTATAATAGGACGAATATTCAGTATATAATTAAGCTACTTAAAATGTAAATTAAACTTGTACTGACCCATGGGTACGTTGATCCTAACATGATATGGTTATTTGTGATTAACATCAGTAAATAATTGTTGATCGACATTTAATGTATGTTTGATATTATATGTAACTAACCGTGAAATGATATTAATATTCGTGTAGTAGTCTACAAGTTCATGATAGTAAAGTGTTATTAATAAAATATATTCGGCGATATTCAAGACAACCATTATATTTCAAAATATTAAAAAAAAATCAATCAAATTATTTTTTTTGTTTACTCTTTTATTATTTACAACATACTAAAACTAAAAATATGTAGTTTAAAAAAAAGCTGCAAATTCATAGATCTCACTTAGGAGGTGTGCAGTGCACAAGAATGATAACTCTACTCTTCATAATTTTTGAGTTATTGTCTTTGTTAGTTTTCATTATTAATTTTTCACCTGAGTGAAGTCTTGAGATGCCGACATGAAACTTCATAGGTGAATAGATCTATTTTGAGGAGGAATGATGTGCGCAAGAATGATAACTCTTCCCTTATAATTGAGTTATTGCCCTTTGTTATTTTTATACTTTTTGTCCGGAACGTATCTCAAAAAGTTTTTCCGGTATCAACTTGAAACTTCATAGGTGGATAGATCAAATTGAGAGAATGATAACTCTGTCATCCATAATTTTTTAGTTATTGCCCTTTGTATTTTTCAAACTTAATTTTTGTTCAGTGCATAATTCAAAAAGCATTTGAGATATCAATATGAAACTTCATAGGTGGAGAGATCTCACTCAGGAGATGTGCAGTGCACAAGAATGATAACTCTACCCTTAATAATTTGTTTAGTTATTGCCCTTTGTTATTTTTCATACTTAATTTTTCAACTGAGTGGAGCATAATTCAAAAGTCTTTTCAATGGTTGCATAATTAACTTTTTTTTTTCGTATTTTTTCTTTCTTGTTCTTTTTTTGTTTTTGTTTTTGTTTTTTTTTGGCGGCAGGAAAAACACCTTCAAACAACTGCCATATTATAAAAAGCTGTAAGTAAGCTTACGATAGCATTAGATGGTATTGGTTCATTTCATCTTGGGTTTCATTTTTTTTGCTTATTTCTATAACAAAACATTTTTTTGAAATTGCAATGAGACAGTTATAGTCTATGGAACTCGTTAATTACGGGGCTATAACACTGACTTGGGCGACATCTCGGGATGTTTCTGCTAAAAGATCGTCTTGGCCTAACGGTCTCGACATATTTTTTTGCAGAAGCATCCCTTGATGTCGCCCAGCCAGTGTTATAGCCTCATAACTAACTCGTTTCATATAATATTACTATTACTTACACTTTTTTTACCATTAAGATATGTGATAAAAAGAAGAATATTAAATTATTAGCATAGTGTTATTGTTAAATTTATTGAGCTCTGAAAAACATATTTATCATACGAGAGGCGCTCGCGTGATATAACTTTATTCAACTCGTTAAATAAATTCAGCATTGAACCATCTCTTATTCAATATCCCCGACATATGATAGTGTATATATAATGCAATTCGTTTAAAAATATTTATTAAACAAACAAAATGAAAATAGTTATCTAAATTATTTTTCACCACCTTGTGAAACAAAGTAAATAATTAAGACATTTCCTAAATACAATGTGATCAAACTAACCTAGTTGTAATTTTATACCGGTTTGGTATTATGTTAAAGAAGAAAAGTCATCACAGCAAAGGACTTGCGAATCAGCACGGCTAGGGGTAGTCCAACTAATTGTACTGCGCGACGAGATATTGTGCTACTTTCGTGTCTGGGAAATATCTCGCCAATCGTTAAAGCGAGATTCTGTCCCAGAACGAAAATATCTCAGAATCAAGCTTTGGCACGTCAATATATTTTGACTAGGCAAGGGGTCATTTTAAATGTTATAGTTATAAATAAATAAATTAAATGATCTTTCATTTAACATGTAGGTTAATGGAGCTACCTTGCTGAGTGTCGGTGACTATAATGAACACAAATTTGTTTCTGACTGGCTCGTCAAACATGATTTGCTCTAGTAAGTGGATTTGTTTATATTTCTCTAACATGATTTGCTCTAGTAAGTGGATTTGTTTATATTTGTCTTACATGAAATGCTCTAGTAAATTGACATTTCATTTTCCTGTATGATGGTATTATCTCGTTGTTTACGTTGCGTACACATACATGTGTACGCAAAAAACGTCAAATTATGTAACTATGGTTTTATATTTATTTGCTCTGATGATTATAGAAACCGATAGGCAACAAATTTAATTGAGAAAATCCAGTTAATGTCAGTTATATTTTAGTATAATTTTTCTTCTTCCGGCACTTTTTGTGTCGCCTTGAAAAATTCGACATATAGGATTTACTTTTGTCGCCGGCGCCGCCGGCGTCCACTAAAGCTTGTCCAGAGCATAAGTCAGTAATTATAAGTCAATTGGAATGCATGCTCAAGAACCGATACTTTTCATGTCTTATTTTTCGAGTTATTGCCTTTTATTAATTTTCATACTTTATTTTTGTCCAGGCCATTTCTCCTAAAGTATAAAAGCAATGGTCTTTAAACTTCATAGGGTGATAGTTCTCATTTAGAAAAAGTGAAGTCTACAAGCACCGATACTCTGCACTTCTTTATTTTGAGTTATTACCCTTTATTTATTTTCATAATTTATTTATGTCCAGGCCATTTCTCATACATTATACAAGCTATGGTATTATCTCGTTGTTTACGTTGCGTACACATACATGTGTACGCAAAAAACGTCAAATTATGTAACTATGGTTTTATATTTATTTGCTCTGATGATTATAGAAACCGATAGGCAACAAATTTAATTGAGAAAATCCAGTTAATGTCAGTTATATTTTAGTATAATTTTTCTTCTTCCGGCACTTTTTGTGTCGCCTTGAAAAATTCGACATATAGGATTTACTTTTGTCGCCGGCGCCGCCGGCGTCCACTAAAGCTTGTCCAGAGCATAAGTCAGTAATTATAAGTCAATTGGAATGCATGCTCAAGAACCGATACTTTTCATGTCTTATTTTTCGAGTTATTGCCTTTTATTAATTTTCATACTTTATTTTTGTCCAGGCCATTTCTCCTAAAGTATAAAAGCAATGGTCTTTAAACTTCATAGGGTGATAGTTCTCATTTAGAAAAAGTGAAGTCTACAAGCACCGATACTCTGCACTTCTTTATTTTGAGTTATTACCCTTTATTTATTTTCATAATTTATTTATGTCCAGGCCATTTCTCATACATTATACAAGCTATAGACTTGAAACTTCATAGAATGATAGCTCTTATTGATAAGAAATGCAGTGTACCGAAACTGCTGCTCTGCATTTTCTTTTATTTTTTTAGTTATTGCCCTTTTTTATTTTCATATTTCATTTTTGTCCTGGCCATTTCTCCCAAACTATATTGTTCTCAAGGCGACACATCCGACTCGTGGCGTTCTACTTATCATTTACATATACATATATATAAATGATAAAAAGTGCCGGAACAAGAAAATATATATACATGTATATATATATATCCCTTGTTATACGGTTTATTATTATATTATTTAAGAGTGGGAGAAGGAAAATTTGAGATGATCCTTTCTCTGCTAAAATACTTGTATATATTCCTCCTTTATATCAGCGGCTCGGTCTGGTTCACTAGTGGCGTGTATTCCCATGGACAGCTGGCGTGGGATGGTGATGGCTCACTTGGTGTACAGGGTGTGGAATTCTGGTCTGCTGGATACTCACCAAGTCATGATGTCATGTATAGTAGAATTGCATATGTACGGGGTGGTAAGTCTGATTAAAAGTAATAGAATGAGCAATGGAAACACGAGACCATCTGATGTGTACTAGGAGACGAAGCCCCTACCCCCCCCCCCCGGTATAAATCACATATCAAAGGCAAAAAGAAAAACACGTTCCCTGTTGTCAATACATGAAACCTCACAAAAATGCAACGAATGATCGAGCATCTGAATATGATATTTCTATCGCTATCACTTTCTCTGTCGTCACAATAAGTAAACCCAAGAAAAATGGACCAAACAATGGGCATGTCCTTGAATGGGGGTAACAAATACCTGCACTCCAGTTAACGCACTGTGCATGTACGATTTAACTCTGACACATTTTCAACAGACATATCCCCAAACTATGATTCAAGAAATAATGTCGATCTTAGCGGTGTTTATCGGCTATTTAACACCGGTTTGAAGTTTTGATGCATAGGAAATGACCACGAAGGCCGTGAGCCTAAGGGGTTAATTTTTTCTCATCAAAACGACAAAACCGGTGTTAAATAGCCGATTAACACCGCTCAGACCAATATTATTTCGATTCTTGCAAGATAAGATTAGGAAGATCACTTGTGTTATTTTTTTTTCAAGCGGAAATAACTTCCGGTGCCGATTTTAATACACCGCTGTTAGATTCTTCACCCAACTGTTGCTAAGATATTTAAACTATTAAACAAAAGAAATAATAAGAAAACAGCTATTTTATCCAGTTTTCAACAATAAAAACTTACGTCTATAATAGAAAGAGCATCGAAACACGAGGCTATCTAATTTGTATGAGTGGGTGTTACCCCCGAGCATTAATCAGATTGCCGAGTGTTTTGATGTTCTTTTTCTTTTGTATCACAGTCAAACATAAAAAACACGTTCCCTGTTGTCACAATATGAAACTCTAGGAAAAAGTAACCAATGAACGAGCATCTGAATATGATATTTCTGCCGCTTTCCCTTTCTCTTCCGTCACAATAAGTAAACCCCAGCAAAAAATGAGCCAATCAATTGGCATGTTCTGGAGTGCGGGTAACTATTACCTGCACTCCAGTTAAAGCACTGTGCATGTATATGTATACGATTTAACTCATTTTCAACAGAAAGGTCCCCAAACTATGAGATACAAGAATGAATTGTATCATAGTTCGGGGACCTTTCTGTACGTATTTTTAGACTTATTACCCTTGACATTTTACAATTTTCAACTTGTGTAGCACGTAACTCAAAAAGTTATTGAACAAGTGTCATGAAACCTTACATGTTGATCAGCATGTGTAGTTGTGCACCTGGGTATTTGTGTGTGTGTATTTATTTAATATTTTAAGAGTTATTGCCCTTGACTTAGTAAAATTTTACAATTTCATCTTGTGTGCACATAACCCAAAAAGTATTTGACCTAGAGTCATAAAACCTTACAGGGATATCGCTCAGCATGTTTAGTTGTGCGCCAGGGGTTACTCTTGTGTATTTATTCTGTTTTGTTAGAGTTATTGCCCTTGACTTAGTAAATATTTGCAATTTTCAACTTGTGTCATATGTAGCTCAAAAAGTATTTGACCTAGAATCATGAAACTTTCTTTGTTGTATTTCAGGACAATTTGGTATAAACGGGTATGGTTGGCATGTAGTTTCAGAAAGTGTCGCATCTGCATATATTTGTGAAATGTCAATGCTGGACGCTCAAGAAAGAAAAATAGAAAACAGAGACTTCAGTATGTTGATATAATTATGAAATCTCAATACCAGATTTAAACATGTCTATGTCAGTAGTATGTCAGTAGTATGCAGTATAATGGTGTAAACTTTGACGACTTTTTTTATGCGTTTATTCAAGGTCGTCGCCGGAAAGCCCATATTGGTAACCGTACACTCAAGTCGGGTCATCCTAGAGCGTCCCGCAGAGATTTTTCGTAGATATTTTTCCAGCTTTATTGGTGGAGGAAGACCCCATGTGTCCCGCCAGGAAGTATTTCAGGCACGAGCGGGCACCTGGGTAGAACCACCGACCTTCCGTAAGCCAGCTGGATGAAATATTTCGACCCGAGTGAGGATCGAACCTACAGTGGTGAGGGACCTGTGATCACAAGTCAGCGACTTTAACCACTCACATACTGGGTGTTTCATTATATCTGTCACTTTGTGCTCTGGTGAGATAAGTAAGAAAAATCTATTCCACTCACTAAACATATCGTTTCATATAACTTTGAACTTTTAAAGACGTTTTCGGGAGTTTTCATATAGACTATATTCTAGTAGACAAAATGAAAACTGTTCAATAGTTGGCATGCTTTTAGAATACTAGTATGATAACAGAAACATTTTAAACGGGAAAAAACGAGAACGGTGACCCCAATTTTTTTTCCGCTTAAAATGTTTCTGTTATCATATTCTTACAACATGCCGAATTAAAAGAAATTCTATTGAACATTATTAATTTTGCCTATATGTGTATATGAAAACTCCCGAAAACATCCTTATTCATTTCTGTTTGTAATTGATAAATGATTGTAATTTTGTATTGTAAATATGGAATAAGAATAAATATTGTTTATAAACCAAATCTTATTAATAGTGCATTCTCATGAATGTATTGTTTTTTCTTAATATTTTCTAAATTAAATGTCTTCCATAAACAGCTTAAGGTGAACAGATATTTTTTTTCACGTTAACGTAAACAAATTTTAGTTATTTTTGCAAGCTACTTTCAGCAATTGACATATTACGCTACCTTATGTATAAAGTAAGTATTTAAGATTTACGATATATTTCAAATTTCTTTAATGAGTCGCCCCATGACAAAACCAAAATATAATGCGTTTGCGACCAGCATGAATCAATACCAGCCTGCGCATCCGCGCAGTCTGATCAGGATCCATGCTGTTCGCTTACAAACCGTATTATAAGAAGACAAACTGATAGCGAACAGCATGGATCCCGATCAGACTGTGTGGATGCGCAGGCTGGTCTGAATCCATGCTGGTCGCAAACGCACTATGTTGATTTTGTCATGGCGCGGCTCATTCATTTATACAATATTCACTTCATATATTTAGCTTACGGTCAAAGTACAAGTGAGATGAAGGATACAGAACGAGGACCGGTTATAACTGATCAGCCACGAAGTCTTGCTGTGTTCGGAGACCCACAAACTGTCTTCATTGAATGTAAAGGGCAAGCAAACCCTATACCTCATTACAAGTGGACACGTGATGGCGGTCAAGTTGTCACATCCACCTTAAATAATAGGTAAAACTTTATTAATAACGAAATTAAATTAATACTCACAAAATTTAACAATTCTACATGAATAAAACACTGTCAGACCATATATGTTACAGGACGTTAATGTCACACGAGTGGGAAATATTCGGCCGAATTACTCACAGATGTCTGTTTGTGCCATCAATCTGGTAGTAAATGCCTAACTGTATGTGTCATACATTTTACACAGTTAACTAAGATCATCAAAGTCGTTTAGCCTACCTTCATCAACGTTAATAATACATCATCATCATCATCATCAACAGCAACAACAACAACAACAACGTCATCATCATCATCATCATCATCAATGATGCATCATCATCATCATCGTAAATCATATAATATTTAGTTGTTCATAGAAAAACTCAATGCAACCGAATTTTGCACATTTTATGTTCCATGTTCGACAGAAGAGTGTGTCATATTCGGCCGAATATGTCACATGAGTGCCATATTCGGTCCGTGACATATACGGTCCGACAAAGCACCACCATAAATTTCTGTAATCCATTTTTTTTCTTTTATATCAGTTGTATATCAGTTGTATATATTTTCCATCAAACATGGTAGTTATCGTATATTATTCTAATATAATTTATTTGTAAATTTGCATTATAAACATTTCTTTATATACACAAATTTGATGCAGAGCTTCACAATGTCATATTTGTGTTTATTTCAGGTACACGTTAAGTGCAGGTCGCTTCTCCATACAAGATCCGGTTGATGGTGACTCTGGAGATTATACATGTATCATAGAAAATAAATTCGGTAAAATTTTGAGCAATCCAGCCAAAATCATCTTTGGGTGTAAGTGTTTTTTCTTAGTATGACAATACAGCACTTAAACTGAAGTGTAAACATGTAAATCGCAGTAAAATACAATACTTTTGATGACACATACTTCGCAAAAAATGTTTACATTTTCTGTAACTTTTATTTTTGTAGAACGCATTTTGATTTTAAAACAAAAGGACATATATTTCAACCGAAATAATCATAAAAGTACTTAGATTAAAGGGACGCCAATGAGTTGCTGTTTTTTTTACATGAAGGAACTGGAAATGTCTTTTTCCAAACATGTCTACCATTTGATGTAGGTTTGGACTTACAACTTGTCATCCTCTCACTCTTACCAAAGTCATAAACAGCGTTGCAACGCTTTTCACTCAATCTAGGCTTAAAATCATATCATACAAAAAAGTCGATTTTCTATTTAACTTACCTATATCTATTTTATTACCTTTTGCAAATCTTTCCACTCTAAGTATGAAAGAATTTCACATTATATGTTTTTAGACTCAAGGAAACAATGGCTTGTCGAAGGCTTTATTATTAATATTTTGTACATTTCATTGACAAGTGTCTACATGTATAATTATACATTATGATTATTGTATGATTACTGTCTAGCACATATATATATATTTTAGACCTCCAAAGCTTTTCTCCTGTCAGACCTGACAATGTTCAAGCAAATAAATTTGAGGGTTCAAGAATAAGTTGTCAAGCCCCTGCGGCTTTTCCAGGTAAACAAACTTTTTTATTTTGGTATTTTTAAACGCACATATATTCTTTTTTTTTTTAAAATCTTTAAATTTTAGTTGAATCACATGAAATTGGTCTTATAGAATAGTATATGAAAAACATCAATGAAGTAATGCAATAAAAGAGTTTAAACATACATGTATCTGTGTAACAAGAAACAACTTTTTCTCTGACTAATTTCAATATATCGCAATGATGGCAATAAAAATTGATATGAGCCGCGTCATGACAAAACCAACATAATGGGTTTGCGACCAGTCTGCGCAGTCTAATCAGGATCCATGCTGTTCGCTTTCAAACCCTATTATAAGTAGAGAAATTGATAGCGAACAGCATGGCTCCTGATCAGACTGCGCGGATGCGCAGGCTGGTCTGGATCCATGCTGGTCGCAAACCCACTATGTTGGTTTTGTCGTGACGCGGCTAATATAGTATCAAAACAATGAACTTATTATTTTACCTAATTTAAATGTTGATTTATATAATAGGAAAAACTCAAATATTTCATATTTTTTACAGAGAGGGCGTATACATGGTTTTACAACAGTATATTTGAGCCAGTATTTGAAGGGTTTGAGAATATGTTTGTATCCAGCACTGGCTATCTGTATTTCTCATCTGTCCAGCCGACTGACCAAAGGCGCTATTTCTGTTCTGTAACATTAATTGCCTCTTCAGAGTACGAAACGGCAATAGATCAACCACCTAGCAGAATAAGTCTTGGTGTTGACTTAATAGTCACTGGAACAGGTATCTTTTAACCATTTACTTAAACAGGCAATTCTTTACTCTATTCACTTGAACATATAATTCTACATATATATTCACTTGAACCCCTTATAAGTTAATTATTCTAAATACTGACACAATCTCCCATTATATTAAAGTTATTGCTTGAATGTGTTACGGGTACATTCTCAGCTATACTAGAGCTTTATACAACATACCCTCGTTGTGCATTGTGGAAATGTGTTACACGACTCACGGGGTCGTACTGCAATTTTTGGTAAAAGTATTAGTAATCCAGTCAAACATTTTGGACGTATTATGTAAGTTCTTTTGTAATACAATTTTGTGAGAACACTTTTGAACAACTGGTAATGTTATAACAATATCACTAGAACAGGTAATGTTATAATGACATCAAGGGGTTCGAACCCACATCGGTGAGGGGCAAGTGGTTTGAAGTCAAGGACCTTAACCATTTGGCTACAGACATCCCTGAAATGTTATAACGTCATCACTGGAACAGGTGAGTTATAATAACATCACTGGAACAGGTAATGTTATAATAACATCACTGGAACAGGTTAGTTATAAAAACATCACTGGAACAGATAATGTTATAAAAACATCACTGGACCAGATAATGTTATAACAACATCACTTGAACAGGTAATGTTATTATAATATCACAAGAACAGATAATGTTACAATTACATCACTGGAACAGGCAATGTAATGAACAGGTAATGTTATAACAACATAACTGGAACAGGCAATATGATAGGTCAGGATAACATTAAGTTTATGTAATATGCTTAATTTATAAAAACATCATAAGAGATTATTTTTATTTACTCTGCAAATATTGAAAGTTGACCAACAGACTATAGAGTGTACATAATACAAAGAAAAATTCTGACTGTCAAAGTTAAGTTTGGGAATATATTTAACCCCTTTCATTGTTTACGCCAGAGTCAAAATTTTACTTCAACGAATAGCAAAATGATGAGCATAAACACATGATATTGATTATATTAGTCATTGACATAAATAGTGCAAACATCTTATCACTCTCCTTCAGAACATGGATACTTCAAGCCGTACATATACACACATACCTTTCCTTCTCCTGCAGTGAAAGGAGCACAAATCAGACTCGAATGTGTGGCCTATGGCTCGTAAGTATATTGTTTGTTTGTTTGTTTTGAGTTTTACGTCACATCGACACAGTATAGGTCATATCGCGACGTTCCAGCTTTACTGGTGGAGGAATATTTCAGGTGCCCTTCCGTGCATTATTTCAGGCACGAACGGGCACCTGAGTAGAACCACCGACGTTCCAGAGCTAGCTGGATGGCTTCCTCACATGAAAGAATCCAAAGTCCCTGTCGGGATTCGAACCTACAGCGGTGAGGGAAAGTGGTTTGAAGTCAACAACTTTAACCGCTCGTAAGTAAAAACAACGTACATAAATCATATTAATCAAATAAACAATAATTTTTCTATAGATTTAACAACTCTTAAAGTTATAGTTTTTTATCAGCCCTCAATCTTGCTAAAATTAGAAAAAGGGATTTTAGAATAAAACATTTATCTTGGTAGAAACATGTCACACAAAACTACATAACAGATTACCTGCATTCTCATATACTTTTGTTCGTTTCTTCTTTAACTAAAGCAATCGACATAAACAGTCTAAATAATGCAAAACTTTACAATTGAAGCGTAAATCTTTTTTAGGCTTCCGCTAAAGTATAGTTGGCATCGTCAAGAGGGCCTGGAATTCGAGCCAGGAACAAGGCTTGCAGATTACAATCGCGTGCTCATTATTGAAGATGCTACCCTAGCAGCAGAAGGAATCTATACATGCAGAGTAAATGGACGCGCTGGTGTAACATCGAAAAATATAACTCTTTTTGTAGAAAGTCAGTCAATACAATATATATATCTCGTTCATACTTATGATGATAATCTAATACATGTTTAATACAGTTCACATTGAATAAGAGTATTAATAAAACAATTTTTCCTTTCCCCATTTACCGGAAATGAATCCTACATACGGTAATACTTTACTGCTGGTGATGAGGTAATTCTTTACTGCTGGTAATGTACTTTCTACGTACAGTCATACTTGACTGCTGGTGATGTACTTTCTACGTACAGTCATACTTGACTGCTGGTGATGTACTTTCTACGTACAGTCATACTTGACTGCTGGTGATGTACTTTCTACGTACGGTTATATTTTACTGATGGTGATATCCTTTCTACTTACGGTAATACTTTGCTGCTTGTGATGTACTTTCTACATAAGGTCATACTTTACTGATGGTGATGTACTTTCTAATCAGTACAGTAATACTTTACTGCTGGTGATGTACTTTCTACATACGGTCATACTTTACTACTTGTGATGTACTTTCTACGTACGGTATTACTTTACTGATTGTGATGTACTTTCTACGTACAGTCATACTTTACTACTTGTGATGTACTTTCTACGTACGGTATTACTTTACTGATTGTGATGTACTTTCTACGTACAGTCATACTTTACTACTTGTGATGTACTTTCTACGTACGGTATTACTTTACTGATTGTGATGTACTTTCTACGTACAGTCATACTTTACTACTTGTGATGTACTTTCTACGTACGGTATTACTTTACTGATTGTGATGTACTTTCTACGTACAGTCATACTTTACTACTTGTGATGTACTTTCTACGTACGGTATTACTTTACTGATTGTGATGTACTTTCTACGTACAGTCATACTTTACTACTTGTGATGTACTTTCTACGTACGGTATTACTTTACTGATTGTGATGTACTTTCTACGTACAGTCATACTTTACTACTTGTGATGTACTTTCTACGTACGGTATTACTTTACTGATTGTGATGTACTTTCTACGTACAGTCATACTTTACTACTTGTGATGTACTTTCTACGTACGGTATTACTTTACTGATTGTGATGTACTTTCTACGTACAGTCATACTTTACTACTTGTGATGTACTTTCTACGTACGGTATTACTTTACTGATTGTGATGTACTTTCTACGTACAGTCATACTTTACTACTTGTGATGTACTTTCTACGTACGGTATTACTTTACTGATTGTGATGTACTTTCTACGTACAGTCATACTTTACTACTTGTGATGTACTTTCTACGTACGGTATTACTTTACTGATTGTGATGTACTTTCTACGTACAGTCATACTTTACTACTTGTGATGTACTTTCTACGTACGGTATTACTTTACTGATTGTGATGTACTTTCTACGTACAGTCATACTTTACTACTTGTGATGTACTTTCTACGTACGGTATTACTTTACTGATTGTGATGTACTTTCTACGTACAGTCATACTTTACTACTTGTGATGTACTTTCTACGTACGGTATTACTTTACTGATTGTGATGTACTTTCTACGTACAGTCATACTTTACTACTTGTGATGTACTTTCTACGTACGGTATTACTTTACTGATTGTGATGTACTTTCTACGTACGGTATTACTTTACTGATTGTGATGTACTTTCTACGTACAGTCATACTTTACTACTTGTGATGTACTTTCTACGTACGGTATTACTTTACTGATTGTGATGTACTTTCTACGTACAGTCATACTTTACTACTTGTGATGTACTTTCTACGTACGGTATTACTTTACTGATTGTGATGTACTTTCTACGTACAGTCATACTTTACTGACTTGTGATGTACTTTCTACGTACGGTATTACTTTACTGATTGTGATGTACTTTCTACGTACAGTCATACTTTACTACTTGTGATGTACTTTCTACGTACGGTATTACTTTACTGATTGTGATGTACTTTCTACGTACAGTCATACTTTACTGCTTGTGATGTACTTTCTACGTACGGTATTACTTTACTGATTGTGATGTACTTTCTACGTACAGTCATACTTTACTACTTGTGATGTACTTTCTACGTACGGTATTACTTTACTGATTGTGATGTACTTTCTACGTACAGTCATACTTTACTACTTGTGATGTACTTTCTACGTACGGTATTACTTTACTGATTGTGATGTACTTTCTACGTACAGTCATACTTTACTGATTGTGATGTACTTTCTACGTACGGTATTACTTTACTGATTGTGATGTACTTTCTACGTACAGTCATACTTTACTACTTGTGATGTACTTTCTACGTACGGTATTACTTTACTGATTGTGATGTACTTTCTACGTACAGTCATACTTTACTGATTGTGATGTACTTTCTACGTACGGTATTACTTTACTGATTGTGATGTACTTTCTACGTACAGTCATACTTTACTGATTGTGATGTACTTTCTACGTACGGTATTACTTTACTGATTGTGATGTACTTTCTACGTACAGTCATACTTTACTACTTGTGATGTACTTTCTACGTACGGTATTACTTTACTGATTGTGATGTACTTTCTACGTACAGTCATACTTTACTACTTGTGATGTACTTTCTACGTACGGTATTACTTTACTGATTGTGATGTACTTTCTACGTACAGTCATACTTTACTGATTTGTGATGTACGTTCTACGTACGGTATTACTTTACTGATTGTGATGTACTTTCTACGTACAGTATTACTTTACTGATTGTGATGTACTTTCTACGTACGGTATTACTTTACTGATTGTGATGTACTTTCTACGTACAGTCATACTTTACTGATTGTGATGTACTTTCTACGTACGGTATTACTTTACTGATTGTGATGTTCTTTCTACATAATGTAATACCTTACTGCTAATGATGTCTTTTTGTGTCCAAACTCTTTGTGGCACATCACCGCAACGTTTTTTGTACAAGTATTACTTTCTTCTACTGATATTTCTACTAATGTGAATGTACTTCTCTACGTACAGTCAAATTACTTTACTCATTTACAAACTTGATTGTGATGAACTTTTCTACGTACATATTTTGGACTCAGATTCCAGACTGATTGGCCGCGAGTCTGATGTATATCTTTTCTACTTACAGTCCTACTTATACTGAGTAGAATTATACTTTCGCTACGGTGCAGGCTTGTGTCTGGATCACTGCTGGTCGAAACTGCCATTATGTGATGTACTTTCTACGTACGTCATAATCTTTTCATTGTGATTTACTTTCTACGTACAGTATTACTTTACTGATTGTGATGTACTTTCTACGTACGGTATTACTTTACTGATTGTGATGTACTTTCTACGTACGGTATTACTTTACTGATTGTGATGTACTTTCTACGTACAGTCATACTTTACTACTTGTGATGTACTTTCTACGTACGGTATTACTTTACTGATTGTGATGTACTTTCTACGTACGGTATTACTTTACTGATTGTGATGTACTTTCTACGTACGGTATTACTTTACTGATTGTGATGTACTTTCTACGTACAGTCATACTTTACTGATTGTGATGTACTTTCTACGTACGGTATTACTTTACTGATTGTGATGTACTTTCTACGTACAGTCATACTTTACTACTTGTGATGTACTTTCTACGTACGGTATTACTTTACTGATTGTGATGTACTTTCTACGTACAGTCATACTTTACTACTTGTGATGTACTTTCTACGTACGGTATTACTTTACTGATTGTGATGTACTTTCTACGTACAGTCATACTTTACTACTTGTGATGTACTTTCTACGTACGGTATTACTTTACTGATTGTGATGTACTTTCTACGTACGGTATTACTTTACTGATTGTGATGTACTTTCTACGTACAGTCATACTTTACTGATTGTGATGTACTTTCTACGTACGGTATTACTTTACTGATTGTGATGTACTTTCTACGTACAGTATTACTTTACTACTTGTGATGTACTTTCTACGTACGGTATTACTTTACTGATTGTGATGTACTTTCTACGTACACAGTCATACGTTACTACTTGTGATGTACTTTCTACGTACGGTATTACTTTACTGATTGTGATGTACTTTCTACGTACAGTCATACTTTACTACTTGTGATGTACTTTCTACGTACGGTATTACTTTACTGATTGTGATGTACTTTCTACGTACAGTCATACTTTACTACTTGTGATGTACTTTCTACGTACAGTCATACTTTACTGATTGTGATGTACTTTCTACGTACGGTATTACTTTACTGATTGTGATGTACTTTCTACGTACAGTATTACTTTACTACTTGTGATGTACTTTCTACGTACGGTATTACTTTACTGATTGTGATGTACTTTCTACGTACAGTCATACTTTACTACTTGTGATGTACTTTCTACGTACGGTATTACTTTACTGATTGTGATGTACTTTCTACGTACAGTCATACTTTACTGATTGTGATGTACTTTCTACGTACGGTATTACTTTACTGATTGTGATGTACTTTCTACGTACAGTCATACTTTACTACTTGTGATGTACTTTCTACGTACGGTATTACTTTACTGATTGTGATGTACTTTCTACGTACAGTCATACTTTACTACTTGTGATGTACTTTCTACGTACGATATTACTTTACTGATTGTGATGTTCTTTCTACATAATGTAATACCTTACTGCTTGTGATGTACTTTCTAAGAACTAAATAGAAGTGCAGCGCAAGAGAACATTAACTCTGCCTTGCTTAATTTTGGAGTTATTGCCCTTTGTTCTTTTACACTTTGAACTTTGTCAGGGACATAACTCTGACACTTCAAGAGGTATACTTTTTGTGTCCAAAACCTACTTGTGCAGCATCACCCGGTTCAACCGGTTTTTTGTATCAATATGTTTATGGTACAAGTACCAAATATACCTTCTTCTAATTGCAAGTAGTATATTTTCTACTAACTGTATACAAATATCTGTACTATTGCCAAATAAATACACATTTCAAGGATAAAATATGTATAAATTACTCATTTACCAAACTTGATTATAAAAAGAACCGCGTCATGACAAAACCAACATAATAGGTTTGCGACCAGCATGGATCCAGACCAGCCTGCGCATCCGCGCAGTCTGATCAGGATCCATGCTGTTTGCTTACCAACCCTATTACAAGTAGATTAACTAGACTGCGCTGATGTGCAGGCTTGTCTGGATCAATGCTGGTCGCAAACCCATTATGTTGGTTTTATCGTGACACGGTTCATTAATCTATTTCAATTATTTTCAGCAAAGCCTTATTTTCCATTTGGTATTGGAGATAGATTTGTAGATCCGGGTCAGGGAGTCACGTGGCGATGCAAGTCTGTTGCTAGGCCTGCAGCTTCATATTCTTGGTACAAAAATGGCGAACTCATTAAAAACCAACCTGGCGTGATGGAAGTTTATAGGGATTATCTGAAGATATTCAATGTAGACGCAGTTAGAGATGAAGGAATGTACCAGTGTGGTGCCACAAATGTCCATGGAACTACTTTTACCTATGGTCAACTTAAAGTCCTTTGTAAGAGCACATTATTATCTAAGTAACAATATCACATCATATATAATTCAAGAGTTATCTCTACATATGTACCTGTATGTTTATATGTTTATGTACAATTTTCTCAAATCTACGGAGACCCTACAGGTGACATTTTTCACACTTTTTTCCGGAACTTAATTCGTTTTTACGAAATAGTAATTCGTAATTTCGAAATAATAATTCGTAATTACGAAATATTAATTCGTAATAACGAAATGTTAATTCGTAATTACGAAATATTTATTTGTAATTACATATGGGTTGTTCCTTTTTACGAAATATTAATTTGTTTTGCTAAATATTAATTCTTAATTACAAACTATTCATTCATTTTAACGAAATATTAATTTGTATTTACGAAATATTAATTTGTTTAAACGAAATATTAATTTGCATTTACGAAATATTAATTCATAATTACAAAATATTATTTCCTAATAACGAAATAATAATTCGTAAATACGAAATAATATTTCGTAAAAGCGAATATTTTTTCCCAAGAGTTTCAAAGAGTTTTAGAAATATTTATAAAGAAAGACTTGAAACTAAGTTCCTAACTTAATAAAAGACACGTAAATGTAATAGAAATAGTGAAATTTTCTTCCCAAGTTTTATAGCTCAACACTTATGTTTATAAATTAAAATAATCGCCTGTCAATAGCGTTGCCTCCACAACCGTGATAGTACAGCGCTAGGAAAATTTTGTTAAAATGGGGGTCCTGTGCTTCAAATCCATCGTTTTGTCGATGTAATTCCTTTTTGAAATAAATATTATGTTTTTATGATCGCATGGTGCCCATACATAACTCGCAAGGTTGATCCAGGCTTGTAGATGACCCCTTTGTGAGATTAGTAGGTTTTTGTCCAACTCACAATGAACTTAAATAAGATTTCGTAAAAACCAGTAATTATTTCGTAAATACGAATTAATATTTCGTAAATACAAATTATCATTACGTAAAAACGAATTAATAATTCGTAAAAAACGAATTTTTATTTCATAATAACGAAATAATATTTCGTAATTACGAATTTTTGTTTCGAAAAAACGAAATAATATTTCGTAATTACGAATTATTATTTCGTAAAAACGAATTAAATGCCGGGAAAAGTGTCGAAAATGTCACCTTAGGGGCTCCGTATATTTGACAATGGGGAAAAAATAATATTTGGATAGAGAATGACTTCTAACTCAAAAACCATGTTCATTTAAATATAATAACTTGATAACCATTCGGCTTATAATCGCAAGGTTGATCCCGGCTTGTAAATGATCCCTTTGCTAGATTAGTAGGTTCTTTGTCAAGCTCACAATGACCTTAAATAAGATTTCGTATTTACGAATTAATATTTCGTAATTACGAATTAATTAATATTTCGTAAAAACGACGAATTAATATTTCGTATTTATGAATTAATTTTTCGTAAATACAAATTTATATTTAGTAAAATCAAATAATTATTTCGTAAATACGAATTAATATTTCGTAATTACAAATTAATATTTCGTTAAAACGAATTAAATGCCAGGAAAAAAGTGTCAAAAATGTCACCACAGGGGCTCCGTACAAATCAATATCAGTTGTTCCTAATCGTTTTTGAATGAATTTTGTTATTGTTTTACATATAGTCAAAAAAGAAAAAAGAAAAAAAACCCATAATTTTTAATTAGAAAAATATTGTCGTGATTTTTCCAGCTTTCTCACCAACGTTTGACAAGAATCCGATGGTACCATACTTACAGATACCGCTAGGTGGAAACATTACATTGCCATGTAAGGTTGAGGCAGCACCGGTACCAGTTGTATGTATATGATGTTATACTTTGTTTCAAAAATGTTATCTTATGCACACCTAATAACATTTTTATATGCAGGCCATAATATGAAAAAGGCAAAGCCTTAAAGCGAGCTCGATGTACTTTTAACGTGAAATAGCATGAAATAATCGCTAATTTTTATTTCAAATGCAGTAACGAGTGCGTGTGACGTCACACGTACTGTGTTAATTTATGGCTCCACCCCTGTCGTGAAATGAATAACGAGTTTTGAAAACGTTGATAAAACTTTGTTTATTTTATTTCACTCTATAAATTTTCAAGCGAAATAAAGATTATTTAAAGTGAAATAAATGTTAAACTTAAAACATTTGCGACATTAAAATAGCGTACTTGATTTGTTTGTTTTGCACGTGCTGTTTGGCGCTACATTGTGACGTCAAGTAAACAATATTTTAAACGTCTGTACAGCGTTAACGACTGAATAAAAGATATTTGTGTTCGGATTCATTCTCTTAGTTAGACCATTTTCTTAAATTCTAGATAGTTTTCACAACAAAATTCGACAAAAAATTGTTTTTATTTATCAGATTTCAAACAAAATGGCGCCTTCGATTTTCATTTTTATACACAGCTTCCGTTATTCTGGTTCCCTGTCCAATTATGGTTCCCATAGACGTGCGCGGGTGACCAGTCTACACATCCGTTTTCAGTCAGAATTCCTCAGTTTTTATGGTTATCTTTAAATTCGAAAGGTTGCGATGTGTCCAATACGGTACTTTGGACGAAAGTTTTCTAAACCATCACTTAGCAGGTACTCGCGTTACCGTAAAGCTCGCTTTGCGAGCAGGCCCTTCGGGCCAGCTCGTCGAGCTCGCTTTTACATATTACATCTTCACTATGTTTCCTTACTGTACATCTAATGAAGACCATATCACTATGTTTCCTTACTGTACATCTGATGAAGACCATATCACTATGTTTCCTTACTGTACATCTGAAGTAGACCATATCACTATGTTTCCTTACTGTACATCTAATGAAGACCATATCACTATGTTTCCTTACTGTAAATCTAATGTAGACCATATCACTATGTTTCCATACTGTAAATCTAGTGTAGACCATATCACTATATTTCCTTACTGTAAATCTAATGTAGACCATATCAATATGTTTTTTTACTGTACATCTAATGTAGACAATATCACTATGTTTCCTTACTGTAAATCTAATGTAGACCATATAACTATGTTTCCTTACTGTAAATCTAATGTAGACCATATCACTATGTTTCCTTACTGTACATCTAATGAAGACCATATCACTATGTTTCCTTACTGTACATCTAATAAAGACCATATCGTTATGTTTCCTTATTGTAAATCTAATGTAGACCATATCACTATGTTTCCTTACTGTAAATCTAATGTAGACCATATCACTCTGTTTCCTTACTGTAAATCTAATGTAGACCATATCATTATGTTTCCTTACTGTACATCTAATGAAGACCATATCACTCTGTTTCCTTACTGTAAATCTAATGTAGACCATATCACTATGTTTCCTTACTGTACATCTAATGAAGACTGTAACACTATGATTCCTTACTGTACATCTAATGAAGACCATATAACTATGTTTCCTTACTGTACATCGGATGAAGACCAGATCACTACGTTTCCTTACTGTATACATCTGATGTAGGCCATATCACTATGTTTCCTTACTGTACTTCTTATGTATACCATATCACTATGTTTCCTTACTGTACATATGAAGTAGACCATATCACTATGTTTCCTTACTGTACATCGGAAGAAGACCAGATCACTGTTTCCTTACTGAACATCTGATGTAGGCCATATCACTATGTTTCCTTACTCTACGTCTTATGTATACCATATCACTATGTTTCTTTACTGTACTTGTAATGTAGATCATTTCACTATGTTTCCTAACTGTACATCTGAAGTGTATGACTCTTAAAAGTTTTATTGCTGTTGTTTTATCTTATGGTATTTCAATAACATTGAGTATGTTAAAGATTACAGAATATGCTCATTTTCTGATAACCGTTTTAATCAGGTTGTTTGGTTAAAAAACGGTTCCCCTTTACCAGTGACCCCAGGCATTGTTGAAGGGCACATAGGAATGACTTTTGAGAATGACCTTCTGTTTAATAACATTGAAAATGGAGACCAAGGTGTGTATACATGCAAAGCAAGTAACATCAATGGCGAAGCTTCAAACTTCACTCGAGTAGAAGTGATCAGTAAGTTGTTTATCAAACACTATATAATTATGTAAGAGTTCATTCTTCTCATTAGTAAAATTTATTTGAGCTTATAATTATCAAACTTTTTTATGTAAACGTGAATTAAACCTAAATGGAATGAGTAAATCAATGAGTATCTAAAAAGATACTCAGACGTGGTTACCTTAGATGAAATAGATTGCGCCATTCTTAAGTCACCTTTATTTTATACCAGACCAACCCTTCAACATTTGCTTATAAACACTGCCCATAGTTGCTGGGATAGCGCCAGAAGAACGTTGTGTGAAAGCCACTAAACGTCGGTAATCGCCGGGAATCGGCGGAGAACGCTGGTCCGGAAAAAAGTTGAACATGCACAAAAGATCTCACTCAGACCAGCGTTCTTTAAATGTTTAATTTCCAAACACTAATGGTAATGGAATTTAGGTGTGGTCTACTAAAACAATGTTATAGCCAGAAATAATGGCATTTTTTGTCTATAAGAACATTAAATATTCCAGACAATTGGAAATACATGCAGTATAAGATTGACAATCACATGTATATAAATTATTATATTATATGACTAAAGCTTATATGGCTGTTTTTACTCCAGACAGTCGGAAGTGACATAAATAACTCTGGATATCGGAAGCTTTATGTGTTTATTCAGATATAATACATTAAAATTATATTTTGAAAAAGAGTAAAATTCAATGGGACATTAGGTGATTTGAAGAATATGTGATATGTACAAGTATGAAAATTATATGAGATACTATAGCTACATTGTCTTGTTGAGAACTTGAACTGTTTTCGTCTCTATGATAATTTTTCATTCCGATGTTTGCATTTTAAAGAAGTATAAAGTCAGCTCTTTGATCAGTAGAAAGTGTATGGTTGGGGGATTCGGGGTAATCATCTCGGGACATTTTGCGAATAATTTGGTCTGTCAACCCTTCAAAAAACCAAGATCATTTTAATGTGTCGGGTAAATACTCAATTATAAGGTAGGTCTATGTGCTCAATTTTAAGGTAGGTCTGTATGAAAATAAATAAAGTTGTCTGACCTAAATTTTGTGATGTGTATACTCGTAAAGGGAAATAACCTAGCGCCAAATGTTCCAAACTCCTCACAGTGATAACCTCCCTTGGCAGAATTGTAATTGTTTTAAACAGAGATGTAGATAACAGAGATAAGCAGCTACTACATACTCCATTGAAGTATCATTCATGCCTATCTAAAAAGTGAAAATTTTTGTAGCAAATGAAACATAATGAATGAACATTTGATCCTTTTATATTATACACCATTTGAAAGTTAAATCTTTTATCTATTGCTGTATGTTAAAATATTGGTAACTTTTCCTTGCATTTCACTTAGAAAAATATAGCAGAAATACCCACTGAGCAAGTTTTTTCATCATATGAAAAGTTGTGTAATAAAAATCAATGAGTAGTCCTCTTTAAAAATTGATGTATCATCTATTTAAATGGGAACTGTATTTTTATCTGCAGCCTAAGACAAATGCATAAGCTTTCAGAAAATGTATACTTTTACTGATTTTGATATCTGGTTAATAAGTTTTACTTCAATGCTACAAGTTTTAAGTTTAGCAATTATGCCTGATATTCTAACTGGCTAGGAAGTTGCCTAACTCTGTTATCTATGTCTCTGTTTTAAACTAGCAGATTATATTACATCGGATTTATATGCCGTAAATTGCTATCCTGTTCCCGAGTTTCTTGGGAATATAGACCAGAATAAATTCACATTTCTCTGTAACTCTGTGAAATAAAAGGACGAATTTCAATACAACAGGGGAGTATGTCACAGTTCAAAACTTCACAAAAATGATAAAATCAAAAAGTTCTCTCAAGTGTTTTATTTTTATTTTATATATTAACAAGAATTGTGTCAGGAAATCCCCGCTTGCATTGTATTTAAAAGATTCTACAACTGTGAAATTTTAGGCTGAATAATAGTCTTTAAAATTCACTGAATGCCGTTAATATTGTTTTTATAACATTTCTCAACACTGCTGGGCCGCTAGGCCGCCAACTTCAAAAATGATAAAATCAAAATCTTTCTGAATGTGAGTTTTTCCTAAAAATATCTAAAAATATATCTTTAAAAAGGCAAGATATGTCTAAAAATCTTAATAAAGAGTTTTTTAATTACTTTGACAAACTTCTTCAACATTAAAAGTTTACGTCCCTAGGTCGCGCAAACTTACCAAAAGGAGAAAATCAAAAATTTTTATCAGTGTTTTGTATATATCCTTTAAATAGCAAGAATTGTCTCAAGAAATTCATCATGCGCCGTTTTTATTGTTTTATAACATTTCAACACTTATAAGTTTTAGGCTGTCAGGCTGCTAGGCCGCCAACTTAACAAACTGATACATTCAATAACTTTCTCAATGTGATTTTGTTCTTTTTATATAACTTTTAAAATGACAAGACATGTATTTATAGCATAGGTAAAAGTCGTTTTTAATTTCTATGACAAACTTCTACAACACTAAAAGTTTAGGCATATGTCGCTGGACCACTAGGCCGTCAACTTCACGCCGCTTGTCTGCTAGGCCCTCAACTTCACACCGCTTGTCTGCTAGGTCGTGAACTTCACGTCGTTGGGCCGACAACTTCACGCTGCTAGGCCGCCAATTTCACACATTTGAAAAGTTTATAGATTTATTGCCTGGTTTAGGCCTAAAAACTCGTACTTTTCCCACAACCCATTACGTCTTAAATTATGAACAAAATATCACAGTCAGCAATTACTGAAAAAATGCAGGCCCCCAATGTTGCACATGCAGTACTTTAAAACGAATACAAATTAAATTTGCCTTTAAAAGACATATCTGCTAAATCAACATCTTTCTTATTAGTTATATACCTGTAGATAACTATTTGGGCTATTGAAAAACGTTCTATGTTAAATCTCAAAAAGGATGAACTTGTGTCTAGTGAATAAGTACATTTCAATAAAACAATTATTTACTTCGAATGTTTAGTAAAGATGCATAGTGCTAAAAGTGTATTCAATGTATTTCGTTTAAATATGTGGACAGCAAACTTTCTGAGTCCGAGTGGGGGCTTATCGAAATGCTTGGTACGTTCTCAAGGTCTTCTTTCAAGACTGCTGCATGTCTGTCAAGAAAGCTTAGGCAAAATCTAGACTCATGAGTGAAGAGAGCGTGTCTCCAGTTTCGTCTTTACCTTTTTTACATGACCCCACGTCTATTTCAAACTTGTTTAGAAGTGACAACGAGTCAATGAAATTCTTATATAGGTCTTCTTTGTCACAAACTACATTCGTGCAACTTTCTACACACCGTCTGAGCACTAACATTGGATTAAGGACATTGCATAGATGCGTTGATGATACAAACAGTCCTTGGCGAGCCTGGGTAATCAAACTTTGGAAAATAAATGTTTCAGGGGTCAATATTTGTACACAGACGGTTGGACTATATAGAAGACTTGTATAAGGTTTTCATTAAACTTAGTCAGAAACGTTTGATGCTTAGCAAAAGTTGAGTAGTTTATGTTTTATTGTCATAATTATCACAATCTTTACAACAGTATTTTAACTATTATTTAAACGATTGTATTGTTACAGGGGGTATAAGTATAACGACAGCACCATTGGACATAAGAGTTCGTGTCAACAGCACGGCTTTCTTGTTTTGTCAGGCGTCCTATGATTATCAACAATTTGATTTGACCTACCAGTGGAAAATCAATGAACATCTTTTAGATACAGTGAATGACCCACATTTTTTACTGGTATTTATAATAAAATTGATTATCTTTTGAAGACTTAGCTAATTGTAATGCAAGATGATGATTTATGTTGATAATATAAATACATATGTACACTAGAACTTAATATAAGAGAGTAATGTAGTTAAAGCGGATTAACAGTAAAATATTTTCTTGTAGTACAAAAGAAACGAAATAAAGGGTTGAATTTCTGACATTTTTCTTGTAGAGCAAGAGGGATGGTTTGGACGGTCTATACATCCTGAACGCACAATACAAACACACGGGCAGATACACGTGTGATGCACGCACAACTATACATACAGATAGCAGACATGCCCTTGTGTTCGTTGAAGGTATAATAAGTAACAAGTGAGGTTTCACGCAAGCGTAAAATGCCTGCGGAGGAGTGATCACTAAAGCGGAATAAATTGTTACCTAGACGAATGTCTGTTTACATCTGAAAATTCCATTTCGACTCGTTTTATACTGTGACAGGACGAATACGCGTAATGTGCCAGGAATCAGACACCATGCGTATTATCTATATGAAGACAGTGTTGCCCGTAACGGTTTATTATATTGCCTTAAACATCAATTAATTTTATCCCGATTAAAGGATTAAATTAAATTTCAATAAGCAAATGACCAACGATTAAGCATAAACGTAGTATATAAGACATTATTTAAAAGCATCAGACCCGTTGCCAAATCTGACACACGTGTGACCTCGCTTTCATATATAAAAGTCTGTTATTTAAGTGTTTGTGCCCCCACTATGGGAAGGGGGGGGGGGGCATTTAGATTTATCCTTGTCCGTCCATCCGTCCATCCCTCCGTTCTCATTTTGTGTCTTACGTAGCTCAGAAAGTATTTGACCTAGAGTCATGAAACTTTACATGAATGTTGCCCAGCATGTGCAGTTGTGCACCTGGGTATTTTCGTGTGGATGCTTTGAGTACTTGTAGAGTTATCGGTTGTGTTTAAATATTCTTGCCGTAAAAAGTAATGCCTAGTCTTTTTTTTTGTTGTTTTAATTTGATTTATACTGGGCGCCGGTAAACCCATATGTCCCAGACTATCGGCCTCTGTTACGATTGCTGGTCGTAGAGCCTGCAACGGAGGACTTAATTCGCCTTCAACGTCGTCGATCGTAGAGCCGCGATAGAGGTCTTTTCATGCTGTCGTCCGTCGTAGATCTTCTCTAGGACGTATTTCCTCGCTTCATGAACAATAGTTGACAATAGAGGAAAGGTATCTCTTCCGAGAGCAGCAGCTCTATTTATGGCCACACCCCTCGCCGTTGGTTAGGTCACACCAGCTAAGTGACCTAACTAGGTCACCCATCTGGTGTGACCTATGCCTTCCGAGCGACGTGCTCGCCGCGAAGGAACGCCGCAAAGGAACGTCGGAAAAGGATGCCAAGTCTAATCTACACCTACTGATTATAAGATGATTTATCAATCGGAACACTTCGACGATTATTCATAATAATCTCGGACTTTTCCACCACGTGTTTTAGATGTAAACTAAAAACATCATTATGTTTAACGAATATACATTTTTGATGTCCAAAGAAATGTATTGACTTTTCCGTTAAAGTATTGATCAAAAATATGTCTGACAATCATAATCAAATTGAAAATCACTCACTTATTGAAGTTATAACTAAATTGGAATGAATATCAACAGGCCCCGTGTTCACAAAGTTTTAAGGATCAGGATCAAGATTAGGATCAAATTTAAAAACTCAAATATTCTCAATTATTTATCCTCATAGATTAAATATTCAGTATTAACTTAATAAAACTGGACTTGAGATAGCATGCTTATGAAATTTTAGAATGAATTTATTCTTATTTTTACAAGATATGGGCATTTAACAGTTGATCCAAATTTTGATCTTGATCCTGAAAGTGATCCTTATTTTGATCAGATTATTTTTGTATTTGTTTTGTTGTTTGTTGATTTTCCCCCAAAATAGGTTGGTTTCTTTGCAAGTAAGCAATTATTTATATTCCGAATATGTACCATTTACTTCTAGCATAATACCATCAATTTTAGTTGTATAAAACAATGAAAATAAAATCAGGATCATCTGATCCTGATCCTGATTTTTTCTTTGTGAACAGGAATACATTTTTGTAACCATGATAATAAGTATAAAAATAATGCACTGTTTACTTTTAAATCTATAAATAAAGATGAGTTTACACGATATAATGAAATAAACTTAGTCAACAACAGCATGTTTTTAACGTAGGTTGGTTCAGCTTCCTTATCCAAATACTGACGGGTTGCGATTGATGATAATTTATATTGTCTGCGGCTTTACCATCAAATAGATAAAAATGCATTATAACACTATCTATATTTTGTTTATATTAACATGTCTTACTTTTTTCACATCGCTGTAAAATATATTGTTATTCCCAATTTGTGATTATACATGTATAAGATTAAATGACATACAAATATATATACTTGTATTATTTAATAATTTGATACTATTTAATTTTAAGGTCCTCCTGGAGCACCGGCTGGTGTGTATGTCGACTCAACATCTGTTACCTCAAACTCTGCCCGTATTGTGTGGTCTATAGCTACAGATATGAGTCACGGCAGTGCTATTATCAGTTATGATATTGAGGCTGAAATAGGACTGTACCCTGGACAATGGAAAACTGTGGCAACTGGTATATATACTTTCATTATATTCTGATATCTAAAATGAATCCAATCAACCAGAATTGTAATGTTAATTACTAGATCATTGTAAATCTTTCAAATAAATATGGGATTTGGATCAATTGGTAATTTTAAATTGCTGAGCACGATGTTGAAGATAATTTTTCTCTTCTAAACTTCAGATGTTTTAGAGTTTGCAGCTATGAATGAAGCTATAAATTATGGATTGAGAGACGACCAGAGACTAGCACAAGTATCTGGTTTATTACCAAACATAGATTACAGCTTTAGAATACGAGCAATAAACAGCTTTGGACGAGGTCATGAGGCGAGCTGGGGATCTGGTAGGTTTATCACTTGATGAAATAGATGAATTTGTCATGAATAACTGGTTTGAATTTTTGTACTTTATTTTAACGACTTATCATAGACTAGTACACATTCAATTTACAACTAACGTGTAGATTGATTAAATCGTTTATGTACTTGGTTAATGCGTAAAATAAAGGTGAACCTGTTAGGACTGATTATCCGTGCATGGTGTCATCTCAGACTAGTAAACTATTTATATATGATTGCACGAATAATCATTAATTGAAGACAGCAATATCCATGTTTCTTCATCTAACTCTCGCATAACATAATTAAAGGCATACTATGCCTTGTCTCAAAAATCCATGACTATTGAATTCTTAAGAAATGTCAAGCATGTGTTTGATAAGGTTTTAAAAATGGATTTAGAGCATGTTAGATGTTAAACAGTTGAAGAATCGGCTTTTAAATAAACGAAATCCCGATTAAAAGAAAGTTATACGAGTAGTTATATGTATATATATAATTTCTAAACTTGTTTTACTGTTCGACACATATAAGTAGTAGACATCCACCACCCATTGATATATCATGATATATCATAGAGGAGTTCTTGCAATAACTGTAACTTTCTATATACTACAAAAACGTTCGTCATAAATGGTAATTTTCATCTTTAAAAAGGAAGTTTTATGTTTAATGATTAAGCTTGCTTAATAATAATGCAAAGTTGCAAACATAAACTAACTTATACCCGAATTTTCAAATGTCCTGGAGTTCTTATGATAACTCTGAAGATGTCCCATAGTTCTTATGATAATGTTGTGCAGCAAAAAAAAAAAACAGAGAAATTCTTTAACGAAAAAATAATGCATGCTATTTACTTTTAAAATTGTTTTATGCCGTCGCAGCATCTGCGATGGCATATACCGATTCACCTCTGTGTGTGTGTATGTGTGCGTGCGTGCGTATGTGCGTGTGAAAAACCACTAGTCCAATTTCAACCAAACTTGGCAGGATTGTTCCTTTGGAAAAGGGCTTCCAAAGTTGTTCAAAGAATTTGATTCCATGCAGAAATATGGTTGCCATGGCAATCAAAAGAATCGATGAGAATTAATTAAAAAATCTTCTTGTAAAGGCCCACACCGCCTAGATCTTAGATATTTTTCATAAGCCGTTGTCTGGTAGAACTCTACCAAGATTGTTCAAATAATAGCCCTGGGGTCAAAATTTGCCCCGCCCTAGCATTGATTTTCACTTCGTACATATAGTCAAAACTTAAAAATCTTCTTGTCTGAAGGTACAAGGTTTAGAGCTTTGATATTTGTTATATGATGTCATCTATAGGTCCTCTACCAAACTTGTTCAAAATTGGCCCTACCCCGGGGATGGTCATAGATTTACCATGAATGCATATAGTTAAATCATAAAGAATATTCTTCTCTGTATTGACAAAGGCTGTATTAGGCATTTGGTATGAAACATTGTGTAGTGGACCTCTACCAAGATTGTTCAAATTATAGCCCTTGAGGTCAAAATTGGCCCTGCCCTGGGGGTCATTGATTTTCATTATGTACATATTATAAAAACTTGAAAAGTCTTTTTGTCTGAAAGTACAAGGCTTTAAGAGCTTTGATATTTGGTATATAATAGCATCTATAGGTCCTCTGACAAAGTTGTTCAAATTTTGCCTCAAGTGTCAAAATTGGCCCGGTCCTGGGGGTCATAGGTTTTCCTTATGTGTATATAATAATAACTTAAAAATTTCTTCTCCGAATGGACAAAGGCTAGAGGTTAGATATTTTTCATGAAACATTGTGTAGTGGACCTCTTCTAAGATTGTTCAAATTGTAGCCCTTGGGTCAAAATTGGCCCCGCCCCAGGGTCATTGATTTTCATTATGTACATATAGTAAATACCTTAAAAATCTTTTTGCGTGAAAGGAAACAACTTACATTGGAATGCCTTATACATATAATGCAATTTTATGTAAAATATTCAATAGCTGGGAGTTAGTCTAAAGGTCATGATTTTCAGAGATATTTATGAAATTATTTAGGTCATGATCACGTGCAAGACAGTTGTGAGCTTTGTAAAGATATTAAATGAAATATAAGGATATTAAAAACCCCAGCAAAAATGAGCCAATCAATGGGCATGCTTTCGAGTGCGTGTAACTAATACATGCACTTCAGGTAACGCACTGTGCATGTATATGTATACGATTTAATGTGACAGGTCCCCAAACTATGATAATACTCCGGATAACCTGTGCATATGTTACATGTATATCATTTGGCTTATTCCACTTAGAAAGTTACATTAAATTATAAAACGGAACATTCTGTGAGTGATTCGATACACCTTCAGTAGGACTACAGATTTAGCGCATAATAATAACTTTTGTTACTGCCAGTGTGTATGAAACGTTGTGTTTGCAATTTGCATTATAATTAAGAAATTAAGTATGGCAAGGATGAAGACCAGAATACGTGCGAATTGGCAAATTATTTGGAAATTTTACATCTCAAAACCACCAGATTATGAATTAGTTATTGGCACATAATACAAGATGTATGGTAAGCTAAATCATTACAATTTAATTCTGCACCTAAAACTCTCTTTTTACAGATGAAAATAAACCATTTTTGACTATATTATACAAAAGTTTTCTGACGAACTCAGTGCCAGTTATCACAAGAACTCCTGACAAGTTATCATTAGAACTCCATCTTTCGTGTTACAGTTCCTGTCCTGTGATATAGCTCTCTTTACCCAAATAGATGTCCTGAAACAATACCGTATCTGTCATGTACTATTTGAGCCGCGTCATGACAAAACCAACATAGTGTGTTTGCGACCAGCATGGATCCAGACCAGCATGCGCATCCGCTCAGTCTGATCAGGATCCATGCTGTTCGCTATCAGTTTCTCTACTCTTTTTATAGAGTTGGTAAGCAAACAACATGGATCCTGATAAGACTGCGCGGATGCGCAGGCTGGTCTGGATCCATGCTGGTCGCAAACCCATCATGCTGGTTTTGTCGTGGCGCGGCTCATTTTATGATTATATCTGTCTGTTTTTCCTAGTGTCCATCAAAACTCCGGCTAGAGCTCCAGTTACTATACCCAAAAATATTCGCGGCTTTGACGAAGGCAAAGTTGGAACATTAAATATTGTTTGGGATGTAAGTTATTTTAATATGTGATTGTTATAAGATGGAAACGTATTTTAAGTTCTTAAGTATGAAACCTGTGAACTTTTTACATTTAAAATCTGCGTATGTGAGATAATAGAAAATATTGCAAATAATGTTGTTTGTGCCCAAAACGTTAACCAGCACAACAAAATAAAAGTAACTAAATCATGTAGTATTATAATAAATTTGTAAAGATTGAACATGTTTGTGTTATATACATTTGGCAATCATTTAAAGTGACATTATGCTCATTCACTGTACACGGAGTACAATGAACAGATGAATTCACAATAGTTTACATCTTGCCATAATTCCATTCAATTTTATAATATAGACAAATAACACATAGGGAATTTCTGTAGTAATCCATTGGAATGTACCTGTAACTTTCAATTTATAAAAAGAATGAGGGCAGTCTTTTTATATTTTAGGCAGATAAAAATTTGATCCTTAGCATTTTCAGTATCAACATTTGGTCAATCAACATTTTAACAGTCAAACTTTTGAAATATATAGTCAATTCAGCTCAATTTGAGAAAAAAATGAGCATAATTTCACTAATTATAATGTCTTAGTCGTATTATATGTACAGGTAAAGGGTCGAGACGACTTTTTTACATTTTTGTTACTGTATATTTTCAAGCCTCTTGATGTATCGGAGTACAGTGGATCTGGTGTGGGATATAATGTATACTTTCGTAAAAAAGATGACCCCAAAGAATGGTTCCATGTAAGATACTATTATATACGTATATGTTATTTAGATATCTTGATATATGAAGGAAGCGAAATGCCAAATTATGTCACGGGTCCATTGGTTCGGAAATGCAAGATTGCTAAAATGGAATCAGCGGTTAAAAGTATACTTTATACAATAAAATCGTTCCATTTTGCAAAATATTCTTTGAGATATAAATTCATAAACATGTAAATAAATAAATACTGATTATGTCAGTAAAAGTAAAACTATATAGCGTTTTATTTTTACCTTTTAAACATTTAAATATGTGAACAAGAGAATTATAGTTAACAATTTTATATTTCATTTCTAGAAAAAGATAGATGGCGCCGAGAGTTCCATGTATACACATCTTGTTGGGTTGGACAATTATTATATTGAATATTCGGTAAAGGTGGGGGCATTTAACGAGCATGGGAGTGGACCAAATTCCACCGAACATATCATTATGTCTGCAGAAGGCAGTAAGTATCATCAACTTGAACTAAATTACACTTGTTGTCACATAAAAATAGTTTATCCTGTTTTTAAAATTTTGAAATAATGTGTTCGCTAAATCGGAAGTATGAAGGTAAAAAGTCGACATAACGATACCATGATATTGAAAAGTCGATATAATGTCGTGTTGTTACCACCTTACACCGTTACGTTATATCGTTTTGCACCATCGTACTTTTAACTTTTCAAAAAAGTATTTTTGACTTGACACCATGGTTGTTTCGAGTTTCGTTGTGTCGCTCTGGCCCTTACTGTGCTACCAGAGCTTACGCTGCCTTTTGAAGAAAATATTATATTTTATAGAGTATAAATTTGATTTGTTATTCTTTTATATAATTCATGAGCAAATGGTAATTTGTGAGGTCCTATAATTTGTGAGGGTGGAATGTTTGTGATGGCAGAGTATTTTTTGTGAGGGTGGGATATTTGTAAAGATGGGGTATTCATTAGGGCTGAGTATTTGTGAGGGGGAATGTTTGTTAGGGTGGGGTATTTGTAAAAGCGGTGTATTTGTGAGAGCAGAGTGAGAATATTTGTAATGTTGGGGTATTTGTGAAAGCGGGGTATTTGTGAGGGGGGAATATTTGTAAGGGTGTGGTATTTGTGAAAGCGGGGTATTTGTGAGGGCGGTTTACCTATTTGTATGGGTGGTGTATTTGTGAGGGGGGATTATTTGTAAGGGTGGGATATTTGTGAAAGCGCGGTATTTATGAGGGGGGATTATTTGTAAGAGTGGGATATTTGTGAAAGCGGGGCATTTGTGAGGGAGGATTATTTGTAAGGGTGGGGTATTTGTGAAAGCGGGGTATTTGTGAGGGCGGTTTATTTGTATGGGTGGGGTATTTGTGAAAGCGGGTTATTTGTAAGGGTGGGGTATTTGTGAAAGCGCGGTATTTATTGAGGGGGGATTATTTGTAAGGGTTGGGTATTTGTGAAAGCGGGGCATTTGTGAGGGGAGGATTTTTGTAAGGGTGGGATATTTGTGAAAGCGGGGTATTTGTGAGGGCGGTTTATTTGTAAAGGTGGGGATTTGTGAAAGCGGGATTTTTTGTAAGGGTGGGGTATTTGAGAAAGCGGGGTATTTGTGAGGGTTTTTTTTGTAAGGGTGGGTATTTGTGAGGGGGGGGTTATTTGTAAGGGTGGATATTTGTGAAAGCGGGGTATTTGTGAGGGGGGATTATTTGTAAGGGTGGGGTATTTGTGAAAGCGGGTATTTGTAAGGGGGGTTTTTTTTAAGGGTAAGGGAAGCGTGGGTATTTGTGAGGGGGGTTATTTGTAAGGGTGGGATATTTTGTGAAAGCGGGGTGTTTGTGAGGGGGGGGGGGTATTTGTAAGGGTGGGATATTTGTGAAAGCGGGATATTTGTAAGGGCGGTTTATTTGTAAGGGTGGGGTATTTGTGAAAGCGGGGTATTTGTGAAAGGGGGGATTATTTGTAAAGGGTGGGATATTTGTGAAAGCGAGGTATTTGTGAGGGGGGATTATTTGTAAGGGGTGGAAAGCGGGGTATTTGTGAGGGGGGGGGTTATTTGTAAGGGTGGGGATATTTGTGAAAGGGGATATTTGCGAGGGCGGTTTATTTGTAAGGGTGGGGTATTTGTGAAGGCGGGGTATTTGTAAGGGGGGATTATTTGAAAGGGTGGGTATTTGTGAAAGCGGGATATTTTGTGTGGGGGGGATTATTTGTAAGGGGGGGTATTTTGTGAGGGGGATTATTTGTAAGGGTGTAGATATTTGTGAAAGCGGGGTATTTGTGAGGGGATTATTTGTAAGGGTGGGATATTTGTGAAAGCGGGGTATTTGTGAGGGGGATTATTTGTAAGGGTGGGATATTTGTGAAAGCGGGGTATTTGTGAGGGCGGTTTATTTTTAAGGGTGGGGTATTTGTAAAGTGGGGTTATTTGTAAGGGTTGGGTATTTGTGAAAGCGGGTATTTGTGAGGGGGATTATTTGTAAGGGTGGGGTATTTGTAAAGTGGGATTATTAGTAAGGTAGGGGTATTTGTGAAAGCGGGGTATTTGTGAGGGCGGTTTATTTGTAAGGGTGGGGTATTTGTTAAAGCGAAGTATTTTTAAGGTCGGAATATTTTAAATGGTGACATATTTATGAAAACAGAGTATTTGTGAGGGCGGAATATCTGAATGGGTGATGTATTTGTGAAAGCGGGGTTTTTGTGAGGGAAAAATATTTGTAAGGAAGGGGTATTCGTGAAGCAATGTATTTGTTAGGGCGGAATATTTGTAAGGGCAATGTATTTGTGAAAGCGGCGTATTTGTGAGGGCGGAATATTTGTAATGGAAAGTTTTTGAAACGAAGTTTTTTTTGTGGTTTTTTAAGGTCGCCCGAAGTTTTAAAGGGGAAAAATGGGGGATTTTTAGATTTACTGGGAAGAAAAAAATTGGGGTTGTTCCATTTTTTGGCCCGGGGGAAGGAAGGGGGGGCTAAATAAAAAAACTAATAAAAAGAATTCCCTAAGCCCTCGGGTGGAATTGAAATAAAGCTGTGGGGGGAAAGTAGATGACAAAGTATAAAAGAATTTAATTTGGGCAGTTTTGGTTATAATATGCCCAAAAAGAAAGGCCCCTTTTGATACCCAGATTGGGGGACTTTTATTTAATTTTTTCCAAAATTTAAACTAAATAAAATACACCCCATTTATTATTTTTTTTGTAATATAAAATAAAAGAAATTAAATTTTTATCAAAAAATAAAATTTCTTGGAAAACATTTAAGGGTAGTGTTGGGAAAACCTAAGGAAAAAAAAAATTTCGTGCAAATTTTTAAACGTTACATTTGGGCAAGTGAAGTTTTGGCGCCCATTTGCGGTGGTTGGGACTTTAGGGTATTGGGTGGAATTTAGCGAATGCAATAAAGGGCATTGCAAAATAAAAAGGGGCCCCACAAAATTCAAAATATCGAATTTACATGTACATTTAATTTGGGCCAAAACTGATTGTGGCCAATTTGATCGTGGAAATGAAAAAAGGAAAATTTGTCATATATTAAATATATGTAGATATATTATAATTACAATGATTTCAAATGTTACTGTAGTGTTTCCCCGGTGTGATTAGGGGGAGACTGTGATCTAATTGAATAGTTTTTTATTTGGGAATGTAGAAAAACTCGGGGGAAAGTTTAAAAGGGGAAGACTAAAGGGGCAAGGAAAAAATTATTTTTTTTTTTAAAAAGAAAAATAGTGTAAGAATTAATACAGAATTTATTTAATTTTTATCTGTGATGGTTTAAAAAGAAACGTTAAATTTTTTGGAAAACCATATTAAGCATTCGCTCAAAAAAGAAAGTCTTTCCCCCTTGGGGATTTGAAAAAAAACCAGAATCCTTAGATTTTTTAGTTAGAATTTTTTAAAATATATGCGAGTGAGGTTATTTGTAATGCAATATAAAGAATATTTTCTATTTTAGCTTCTGGTTCTTTCATGTGTGTAAACAATGCTATGCTTCAAAGCATCTGCTTTCAAATGATACCAGAATCGTGTGTGTAGTCAACCGATTAAGAATTTGGTCGGCACTAGAAGTTATCATATAGTTAACTTTCTCTTACTGATAAAATATATTTGAGCCGTATCACGACAAAACCAACATAATGGGTTTGCGATCAGCATGGATCCAGACCAGCCTGCGCAGGCTGGTCTGGATCCATGCTGGTCGCAAACCCATTATGTTGGTTTTGTCGTGGCGCGGCTCATTTAATTAATGTTTTATATCAGGTAAGATATTGGCACGACGACTTTCCAGAGTTTGTTATGTGGAGAGATCTGTACGGTCAACATGATTCAGCCATCATTATAGGTTTACAGGATAACACAAATTATTGGGCATCAGTACAAGTTATGAATTATGCTGGTGTTGGTCCAATTGGAGAGATTCGACTGGCTGAAACGTTACATCTAGGTACAGTTTAAATTACAGTGTATTCAAAGGTTTTGTACGAGCCAAGCGATACATGGCAAAGTAAAAAAAAATCATTTCGTATACATATAGTCCACTCTGCCCTTCCTGTGTTTTACTTATCTTTATATTTTGATATTGTGCACAATATCTATTAAGAAAAATCATTAAGTGAAACTATTAAGTAGTCAGTATAGCAGTTTTCAAATAGGAGATTTAAGCTCCGATTCTCATATGGTAAAAAAAGAACACCATAAATATTGCGCAATTTCTTGAAGTAAACAAACAAATTCAGAAAAAAATGAATGTGGTTTTAGCATAGTGTGCATGTTATTTACCAGTTAACATATACCAGGAAACTGTCAAAGGCTCGAACATTTGCCTGCACTTTTAACAAACTCATATTACATATGTCTGTTTTTACGAAGGGCGGCTATAGTATATAACAAAAAAGCCTGGGCTACAGAATTATGGCATATATATTTTTTCGTAATTCAGGACCTGTTGTGTGTTCACCATCAGTAACTGTGTCAATGCAATATTATTTTATCCGTCTGAGATTAAATCCTGAAAGAATTAATCATCTCCTATCACAGGGATAAGACGTTTTTGATTTGATATAATTTAAGCTACCCCCTCCTCCAAAGAAAGTTACAAAAAAATTTTTAAAATTAATTTTTCAAAATTTAGTATTCAAGGGAAAGGGGGGGCCCCTAGGATTAAAAATGACTTTTTAAAAGAAATTTTTGTAAATTTTTGCTGCCCCAAAGGGAAGCTAAAAATGTGGGGTGGCCCATGGTCACCCCGGTATAAAGGGTTTTTTCGGGGAGATAATAGATTTTTGGAAGGGGTATTTGTAACAAATTTTGGGTATATAGAAACCCTTTGGGGAAAACCGGTTGGTATTTGGGTGTTGGCCCCTTTGGGGATAAAGGGCCCATCGTTGATAAAAAATAGAAAAAGGGTTTGGGAAAAATAAATTTAAAGGAAATGAAAATATTGAAATTTAAAATTTGGTGTATAGAAGTTATTAAACCCCGGGAATTGGGAAATTGGAATTTGGACCCTGGGATCAAGGTCACCATTACTAAAAATAGAAAAATGGTTTCCGGACAATAACTAGAGTTAGGAATGAGATACTGTAATCAAACTTGGTGTATAGTAAGCTTATATAAAGACCCCGGTTTTTATTGCATTTGGACCCTCTGGGGTCAAGGTTAAGGTCGCCGTTACTAAAAATAGAAAAATATTGTTTCCGGACAACTAGAGTTAGGAATGAGATATTGCAATCAAATTGTGTATAAGAAACTTATATGAAGAGCCCGATTGGTATTGCATTTGGAGCTCCTGGAGTAAAATGCATCGTTGATAAAAATAGAAAAATGGTTTCCGTGCAATAACTAGAGTTAGGAATGAGATATTGTAATCAAACTTGGTATATAGCAAGCCGATATGAAGGCCCCAGGTTTTTATTGCAATTAATTGAAATAATTTTTGGTTTGCGAATTGATGCTTCGTTTACTATAGGTTGAGTTCAAATTTTTCTTCAGACCGCTTATTTTGTAAAAAGTCAAAGTTGTTGGTGAGGGTATTATTCACCTTCAGTGATAGCTTTAGTTCTGACTGTTCTCCTTATATGGATCAGAATAATTACTTGCTCATATCTATTTTATCTAAAAGTTCCAATATATTTTAGACACACATCATCTGCAGATCCACATTTAGAAATACAAACAACATTCATTAAATTCAATCGGGGGATGGTTTAGAAGTCTTAATTTAGGTATTAGAAGTTTGGCTTACTGATTCTGTTTAATATGTTGAATCTTAACACTTTTGATCTATTTGAACGTAACATTTAGTTAAAACGTTATCAGTTTAAGTAGGCAAAAGTACCTCTTATTTGAAAGCTTATCTATTAAATAGAAAGCATGAAGTGAAAGTGGAAGAAACTATGTCCTAGCTTCCATAGTTTCTTGCTATTTGCCCGCTCCATGTCCGATCCTTAATTCTCAAAATAATGCATGGTGTATTGCGCGGTATAAATAAGTAATTATTGTAATGATTTAAAAATAATTAGGTGTTATCATAAAAAAATCCAGAAATTGTTTATCTTTTATTCTTTATATCTAGCACCGGTAGACTACCCACGGCACGTGAAAGTTTGGCCGCACGGCAAACATTCGGTAAAAGTCACCTGGCAGGGAGTTAGCACGCTGTTTAATCAAGAGTCACTGATGGGATATATTGTAAGCTTTTATATATGATTTCTCTGCTCCTTATAGTTGTTCTCGAGTGTTTGTTTGTTATTTAATATTTCCATTATGTATTTCATTCAAATAATATTTGAAATAGTAGTTTTTTTATTAATGGCAAGTACATATTGCAGTAATAAAGTATTAAGTTATTTTCACTTTAGTTACGTATTTGGAAGATCCAGGAGGATATAAGAACAGCTCGAGATGTCACTGTAGACAAAGTGAGAGAAGCTGTTATTGACGGTCTCCAAACACACACTGTATATGTCCTCCGAGTGCTTGGTTATAGTGCTGGTGGAGACGGTACACTCAGTCCTCATATATATTTTACTGTAGAAGGTAACACACTAAAATCCTTTATTTTATTGTAGTAAAAAACCTTTATTTTACTGCAGAATGTAACACACGGAAATGCTTTATATTACTGTAGAAGGTAACACACTAAAATCCTTTATTTTATTGTAGTAAAAAACCTTTATTTTACTGCAGAATGTAACACACGAAAATGCTTTATATTACTGTAGAAGGTAACACACTTAAATCCTTTATTTTATTAAGGTAAAAAACCTTTATTTTACTGCAGAATGTAACACACGGAAATGCTTTATATTACTGTAGAAGGTAACACACTTAAATCCTTTATTTTATTGTAGTAAAAAACCTTTATTTTACTGCAGAATGTAACACACGAAAATGCTTTATATTACTGTAGAAGGTAACACACTTAAATCCTTTATTTTATTGTAGTAAAAAACCTTTATTTTACTGCAGAATGTAACACACGAAAATGCTTTATATTACTGTAGAAGGTAACACACTAAAATCCTTTATTTTATTGTAGTAAAAAACCTTTATTTTACGGCAGAATGTAACACACGGAAATGCTTTATATTACTGTAGAAGGTAACACACTTAAATCCTTTATTTTATTGTAGTAAAAAACCTTTATTTTACTGCAGAATGTAACACACGAAAATGCTTTATATTACTGTAGAAGGTAACACACTAAAATCCTTTATTTTATTGTAGTAAAAAGCTTTATTTTACGGCAGAATGTAACACACGAAAATGCTTTATATTACTGTAGAACTATAGAAGGTAACACACCAATATCCTTTAAATTTATTGTAGAAAAAAACTAAAATCCTTTATTTTACTGTAGAAGGTTTAAGGTAACACGCCAAAATCCGTTATAATTCTGTAGAAGGAAACACAATTAAAAACCTTTATTTTACAGTAACACACTAAAATTCTTTACTGTTCAAGGTAACACACTAAAATGAGTTTATTTGTGTTGTACAACTTCACCTTGTTGTTGTGCTCCTTCAGATCCTTGTTTGATTTTAGGCCAATGGTAATAATATCTTGACTGTCCTTTTTACCGGCTTTCATAATAAGCTAGCCAGAAATTATTTTTTCTGCATGTAAACTACCGACTACTTACGAAACATGATTTAAGTCAAACTTCACCAAGGAATTTCTCATTGCCCTTGGATCGTATTATTCAATGAGATGACTTCAGGTGTAGTGACCGGTCACAAAGCGTCCGAAATAAGTAGTATACATGTATATACACCATTGTGGTAACAGTGTCCCTAATTTATTTAGAGGACATGCTCACGGGGGAACTGTTACACGAGGGGTGTAGTTCTTATAACTTGTCAGGAGTACTTGTGATAACTGTCACGGGGTTCCTGGAAAACGTTGCGAATTTAGTCGGAAAACTTTATTGAAAAATGGTTATTATGAATTCCTGACAATTTATCATAAGAACTCCATCCTTCGTGTAATAGTTCCGCCTCCCGTGATGCTGTCGATTAATTTGTATCTTGAATATCGACTGTCGGTCATCTTTTTCAATTGTTTTTCAATTGTTATCTAAGTAATATCACATTTCTAAATTAAATGTCTGCACAGATTACATCTTTTGATTTTCCTAATACCCAAGTTTTGTGATAGAACTATTTCGAATCTTCTTGTTTCCGACTTGATAATGGTCGTGGTGTTCCGAATGATCTGTTAACTAAAATATTTGGTAGTCCGAAATGGCGTGTAATGACAGCAGTACAACATAATTGTGCACTTATATTAATCTACAAAATCTTCTGAAATGCTGTTTAAAAGCAAATAATAATTAAACAGTCCGCTAATGTTATCCGGAAAATTAGATCATAAAAACATGTTTCCTTAAAGAAGGGACATATTTCTGTACAATGTAATATTTCTAGTAATAATCTGAATAATTGTTAAGAAGAGGAAAAAGTACGTGGCAATATTGACCTATTTCCTTTGTTGTGGACAAATGTTCATATATGATATAAGGGGCAGCTAAAAATGAACAATTTTGTAGTTCAGTGTGGCCAAAAACACAATTCCAAGTATTTCAAAATTACATGTATATACAAAGCTACCAAAATGCTTAGTTTTGGTTTAAAATCACAAAAAAAACCCGGCTAATTTCCTACACACAAACATAAAAGAATTAAAATAAAGGAGAAATATCAAAAGTTTTCAATACCTTAAAAACACCATGTCTAAGTTATGAACAAATTTGACCGGAGCCATCATTCCAATATGTCCCCTGCCCCCTAAAATGAGATGTAAGACATGTTTTGTTTATATTACAGGGGGAAATGTACCGTTTGACCCGACAACAACAAGATTTTGTTTCTCACAAGAAGAGTGTGGCACAGCATCATCATTATATATTTCAGTGTGTTTATTGTTTCTCTTACCTTTGCTTCATCTCCACATTCTACTTTAATTTGTTTATACATATTTAACTCAAATATCCAGGGATGCTTTTTAACCTTTATTTACATTTATAATTTTTTCTCTTTGTATGTTGATAAGTTAAAGAGAACGGTATCTTGTTTAAATTGTTGACATATATCAGACCGGTATATATACAGGTATATAAGTGTTTTAATGGGTAGATAATTCCAGACAGAAGCATATATGAGTCGCGCCATGACAAAACCAGCATAATGGTTTTGCGACCAGCATGGATCCAACCCAATATGGTTAAAATAATACTAGTTTCAACTACATATGAGCCGCGTCACGACAAAACCAACATAATGCGTTTGCGACCAGCATGGATCCAGACCAGCCTGCGCCTCCGCGCCGTCTGATCAGGATCCATGCTGTTCGCTTTCAGTTTCTCTACTTGTAATAGAGTTGGTAAGCGAACATATATCGAAAGGAGTTGGCAGACGAACAATAATGTTGATGAACGTTTAGATAGAATATGGTCTGAAAATTTACATTATATTGATAGATGACATTCAAAACCAAATAAATTTTTGTCTGGCAAAACTTAAAATTGTTTGTCAGAAAGTTTAAAATTTACTATGCTCGGTATAAGGAAAAGATATTTATGAAATGATAAAAACAGAAGTGTAAGATTTACTATGCTCATCTTTGCGAACAATACTTTAATATTTTAAATCATTGACATCTAGGACTTACTTACTGAATTTGTTTAGTTTTCTTACTGAATTTGTTTAGTTTTCTTAGTGAATTTGTTGAGTTTTCTTACTGAATTTGCTTAGTTTTCTAATTTGTTTAGTTTTCTTACTGAATTTGTTTAGTTTCTTTACTGATTTTGATTAGTTTTCTTAGTACTAAACTTGTTTAATTTTAATAAGAGGATGCTTGGGAACACTGGACTCGTTCACTTGGTTCTTTCTTAAAAACAATAGTGACACTTTTTAATTCAAATTACACCATATGGAAACTAAGTGATCCCTCGTACTGTTCTAGAGTTTAAAATGTAGAAAATCTTCTCTTTGTGTACTTTTTATATGTTTTTATTTTACGTAAAATCAGTATTTTCAAATACCAAATTTGCATTAAAATTTTTACAAAATCTTAATGGTTCAAATAAAAACTCAATAAGAAACACTTTTTAAGATTTAACAAGTTTTGTTACATATTTGTATGCCCCCGGGCATATAGTACATGCAATTGAACCATCCGTCTTAATGATTTCATACTTCATACACTTACTTATCAACACAAATGTACATAATCTGGGCAAGTTACATAACCATGGCTTCCCTTCTTATCAAGTTATTGACCTTTTCATCAGGACTTAGAAAATGAATAATTGGTTAATCTAAAACGGCAAGTTGGATATATCTTAAGTTCTATCTATTCTAATAGCTTCATAATTACAACACTTGTGTATCAAACAAAGTACATGATATTGCCAAGTTATATAACTGTGCCATCCATTTTTTTCAGTTATTTCCCTTTTTATCACTTTGAAAATAGGGCCATCTAAGGTTAACATATCCCGGCAAGTTGGCTCATATTTACATGGAACAATGCCTTGGGTGGTATTTTTAAATTCGGTTGGAGTTTGGGGTTGCTGGGTTCAAGGTAAAGTCTTGCATTTACATGTACACATGTATATACTCATATATATTTTTCAACTTCATCACAAGTCATAGCAATGACTTGCCAACTTATATTTTTTACAAATAAAATGACTGTCAAGTTATGTGTTATATGTGTTTACTTTTTTTTTTTACTATTTTCAATGTTAAAAATATTTTTGTTACATGTTAAATATTGATGTACATAAAGTTAGTTCCCTATTCCTTATTCCTTATTCCTTTTTCGAATAAGGAATAAGGAATCAGTTCCTTATTCCTTTTTCGAATAAGGAATAGGGAACTAGTTCCTGATTCCTTATTCAAATCTAAATAAGGAACAGCAGAATTAGTATTTATTTAAAATAAAATTTATACCTCATTCAAATCATTGCATAAAGAATCTGCATCAATTATTTTGGAAAAAAGTGTTAAAGTCGAATAAGGAATAGGGAACCAGTTCCTTATTCCTTATTCAACTCCGAATAAGGAACAGAAGAAAATACGTAAAGAAAGACACCAGTTGCAGTTATTTTTGATAAATTTGCATAAGAATTGCAAGGATCAATCATTAAAATCATGAAATAAAGCATCTACATAATTTTTTTTTGAAAAAAATGTTAAAGTCGAATAAGGAATAGGGAACCAGTTCCTTATTCCTTATTCAACTCCGAATAAGGAACAGAAGGAAATACGTAAAGAAAGACACCAGTTGCAGTTATTTTTTATAAATCTGCATTAGAATTGCAAGGATCAATCATAAGAATCATGAAATAAAGCATTAGTATAAAAATATTTTGGAAAAAAAATGTTCAGGTTCAGTCGACTCCGAATAAGGAACAGAAGTTATTACGTAAAGAAAGACAGCAGTTGCAATTATTATTGATAAATCTGCATTAGAATTGCAAGGATCAATCATTAAAACCGTGAAGTAAAGCATCTACATATTTTTTTGAAAAAAAAAATGCCATTCTGTCCATGGGGAGGAGAAACTAGAGATAACTGGATAACACGTGCACAATTGACAATCTTTTGTTCATGTTACATTTCATTCTTACATCCAATGTGAAGGTTAGAAAATGGCTGACAGAGAGTGGTGGAATCGGAATAGTTATTCTCGAAGTATCCGACCTGTTCACCAGAAGACGTTGGGCAGAGGGGAAATTGTTATGGATAAGAAACACAAATCCCGAATTAGTAAATGACCATGTCATTAATCTATTCGGGACAGAACATTAACATTTCGTGAGATATTATGGAGACCTTCAGACACATACGTCAGAATCAATCTGTTCAAATGATAAATGCCCGCAAAGAGTCGAACAAAGATCATCTGGAGAGATTGTTTTTTTTCAGTAAGTTATAATTACGCTACAATTCAAAGAACAAAACTACAATTTCCATTACAGTAATATCACCTCGCAATGTTTATAGCACATAATAATGTTACTATGTATTAGCTTTTATGTTCTTTTAGTTTCAAATTCTTAAAAAAACGTCTATGCACTATGAAGTTTCATATTGATATCTTAAATACTTTTTGATTGACATTCAGAACAGATATTAATTAATATGAAAAACTAGGGACAATAACTCAAAATTTATTATGTAAAGAGTTACAGTCAATATACACAGCATGACGCCTTAGTGACATATATGCACTTTGGATGATTAATTATGAAACCTCAGATAATATTTTGAGTTCTGATTCAAAATTAAATGTGAATAAAAAATTGCAAAATGGAATAACTGAAAAAAAAATGAAATGAAGATTAACAGTATCTATATATTGCACTTAGGCTCAATAAGATTTAATGATAAAAGCAGTTTCAGGTTCATAAGTAAATAGTTGATAGAATATATTCCAAACTAGAGATGTGGCGTACGGACTGAAGGACGAAAAGCCAGACGGACAAATTCAGATTTATATCCCTACACCTTCTGAGATTATCACAAGACTGACAAAATAGTTAAAATATACAAATTACTAAAACACAAATGTAGTGTACAAAGCTTATAACTTTTACAAGGCATACGCTACAACATTTAAAAGATTGTAAGAAATTTCTATGCATGTATGTCAATGATACCCAAAATCTGTTTCTTTTAAATAGTTTATGCAGCTAGCAATGGCCAAAATCATTTTGACTTATTCGTATTGTTTCAGTAATACAGAACGACGTACAATCCAAGACTCTTTGGATTTTTGGTCAAGTAACAGGGACATTGTTTTACAGAAATGTAGAAAAAAGCGTCAAGGTCGTAAGAGGTATTGGTGTAAATTTTGTTTTGCATAATTTTATTTAATCCAAAGTTACTTCGTGTGCATGAAGGGTTCGAACTGTTGCCTAATATTGGACGAAACTAGTTATATAACACTTTATAATACTGCACGTTTGTAACGTCACTTTTCATTGAATAATAATGACGTTTATATTATTAGTTATAAAGATTGTTGACAGTTTATATGACCTTATATAAACGGCTGTTTGTAAATATTACCCGAGCCGCTAGGCGAGGGTTATATTGCAAACAGCCGTTTATATACGGCCATATAACCTATCAACAATCTTTATAACGAATTTATAATACAGCAAACATCATTTTTTAGAGAAAAAAAGTAAGATTTCTTCATGAATCGACAACAGCCGTGTATATAAAACTATATAAACGTCACGATTATCCAATGAAAAGCGACGTTACAAACGTGCAGTATTATAATATTAGTTATAAAGATTGTTGGTAGGTTATATGGCCCTATATCAACGGCTATTTGTACATATAACCCGAACCGCTAGGCGAGGGTTATATTGCAAACATCCGTTTATATACGGCCATATAACCTTTCAGCAATCTTTATAACGAATTTATAATACATCATTTTTAGAGAAAAAAAGTAAGATTTATTTATGAATCGACATCAGCCGTGTATATAAAATTATATAAACGTCACGATTATCCATTGAAAAGCGACGTTACAAACGTGCAGTATTATATAGCTTTATATACACGGCTTCTTTCAGTTTATGTAGAAATCACATATTTCCCCCAAAAAGGAAGTATGCTGTATTATATATTCGTCATAAAGATTCCTGACATGTTATAAGGCCGTATATAAAAGGTTGTATGCAATATAACCCTCGCCTAGCGGCTCGGGTTATATATACAAACAATCGTTTATATAGGGCCATATAATCTGTCAAGAATCTTTATAACTAATGATATATCACTTTTGACTACTGTGTTTCATTATATCTATAAAAAAAGATGATGGAATTTCATAAGTACGATTGCTTTATATAACTTATAAAATTGTAAAAAGGACAGTTGACAACTAACTATTCTAACAACTTTGTCTTTAGAATATGCACGGGGCATAGAGTGTGGCAACCAAGGCGTTTTCAGAACGGAGACATTCTCCCAGAGGTGCTAATTGTCAATGTTGAAGCATGTGTATTCAAGACAAAGATTGGAGAAGTCGTTACCGTTGGACCTAGTAGCAGGTTGTCACATTTACATTAATACAGCTTTAAAATTAATTCTTCATAATGAAGTCATTACAACAAAAGTTCAGAGTTAAGCCACCATAAAAGGATACAATTGCTGTGTGGTATTATAATGGTCAAAGTTGCTTTTTAAAATATCCGATTACTTTAACTTTTTGTCTATGGAATAGATGTTATCGTTGTTGTTATTATTTATTGTTACAACTTTACAGATCCATACTACGAGGTTTTGCATCGCACATGTGTAATGACGATTTATGATTGAATTATTTTTAGTTTTAATATTGAAAGACAAATTATTATGGAAATGGTTTTTATATTCTTATCTTCCGAAAAAATAAACTTCCAATTCCGTGAACATATCCTGATCAACAATTGGAATGTTGTAGATTTGCATATCAATGTCCCTTAAAAGGGATATCGTTACAAATTTAATCTCTCAAAATATTCTTTCTTGCTTTTTTTCAGATATACCGTGTTTGCCATAACATACGGGAACGGAAACCATTTCATATGTGAATTTTTCCATGATGGTTCCGGTAAGCTATATGACGGGCTGAAAAATAAAGTCCAGCCACAAAAGAAAGAAATGCACGGATATACTCAAGTTCATGCACTACTGCTTCATGTCAGGAAAAGTACTTAAAGCAATACTTTAAATAAGTGAAAATGTGTTATTTGTATCATATATCACATAGAACTACAAACGTGTGGAAGCTACAGTAAAGAAACATTTCATAATTACCATCGGCTTTTACAGATGAAAACCTAAAAATTCTACTGTTAATTGCGTAAGACTATGTGAACAACTTCATTTTTCATCTTGTGATTTTTTTCTATAAAATGATTTGAGCTTTGCTCGTATCATGTTGTTAATGTAAGTAAAACACATTATCTAGTTACAAATGCTTGAATGTCTGTATGGTAATATAGACTTTTGAGAGAAGCTTTTATTTCTTTTCACATTTTCAAATAACTGTCATTAAAGGATAACACTTTTTTTCTGATTAAATATTAATGTAATGGTTATAAAGTAGCTTACCATAGTAAGTTGTGTCTCTGAAACATCAAATTGATGTTTTGTTTTAATGACAGACAAACATACAAGAGTTTGCTAGACAGACTTTTGCCTAAACATCCAGATGGGTTTATAGGTTTCATGATTATTGATTGCCCGGAGCAAATCTCCTTAACTATGAAAGCATTTAGTTGATATTTGGCGCATAAATAGAGGTGCATGACAGAAAGAATTTACGTATTTCCTTCTGTTCCTTATTCGGAGTTGAATAAGGAATAAGGAAATGGTTCCCTATTCCTTATTCGACTTTAACATTTTTTTCAAAAATTATGTAGATGCTTTATTTCATAATTTAATGATTGATCCTTGCAATTCTTATGCAGATTTATCAAAAATAACTGCAACTGGTGTCTTTCTTTTTACTTATTTCCTTCTGTTCCTTATTCGGAGTTGAATAAGGAATAAGGAACTGGTTCCCTATTCCTTATTCGACTTTAACATTTTTTTTTCAAAAAAAATATGTAGATTTTTC